TTCTTCAAATGGTTAAATTAGTTTGAGATAATCCACATCTCTCACACCCATCAGACGGTAAATGCCTCCTTCCCACACAGAGACATTCAATGCCTAGGCTGGGACATGATTGTCCATTCAATCCTTTCTGCTAGTGCAAGGCTGGGAAGAAGTGTTGAGATTTCCCTCTGCTTGTACTGCTACAGAAATGAGAAGGAAGGAATAAGAATAAGATAGATTGTTCCAGGTGGAAAGGACCTCTAATGGCCTTCAAGTTCAGCTGCCTGATGACCAACCCTTTAAGGGTAAGGAAGCATGCATGCCACAAGGGCTGACCTAAAGATCATCTCCAAATTACTTTTAAACACTGAAATGCTTGGGGCATCAGCCACCTCCTAGGAAGCTATTACACTCGTTGATCACCCTTGTGGTAAGGAAATGCTTCCTAATGTCACATCTAAACCTTCCCTGGTGCAGTTTTGACCTGTTTCCACATGTCCTATCACTGATCCCAGGGAGAAGAGCTCAGCACCTGCTTCTTCACCTTCTTCAGGAAGCTGTAGGGAGCAATGAGGCCACCCCTCAGCCTCCTTTTCTCTAACACAGACAAGCCCAAAGTCCTAAGGCAGTCCTCATAGGACATTCCTTCCAGCCCTTTCCCCAGCTTTGTTATTGCCTTCTGGACATATTCAGGGCCCTTCACATCCTTCTTAATTTGTGGGCCCCAGAACTGCTCACAGTACTCGAGGTGTGGCTGTACTAAAGCTTAGTGCAGCAGGATGATCACCTCTTTTGTCTGAATGGTTGAACACGGGGTTTGAGGCATCCCAGGATGGGATTTGCCCTCCTGGCTGCCCGTGCTCTCCCTGCTGGCTCACACTGACCAGTGCTCCCAGATCCACTTCTGCAGGGCTGATCTCCAGCCACTCCTCTCCCAGTTTATACTTGTGCCCAGCATTACTCTGTCCCAGGTGCAGAATCTGGCATTTGCTAAATTTTAGGCCACTGACTGCCCTATGCTCTGATCGATCCCCATTGTTCTGTAGGGTTTCTCATCCCTTAAGGGAGTGAGCAGCACCTCCCACTTGAATATCACCAGCAAACTTGCTAATGGTGCATTCGACTCCTGCATCCCTATCACAGATAAATGTATTGAACAGAACTGGTAGCTCTGAATGTTTATATTGCATCAGTAGTTGGCAGCTCTTATATAGCCAAACAGATCCATGATATCCTAATTCCCAGTTGCATAGAAATTTCCGTTGTGTATGTCAGCTGCAATTGCTTTGCTTTGGTTTGCGCTTTTTTTGAGAAGAACATAAAGGACAGAAAAATGCTACCTCTAGTTTTATGAGGTGGTTGCATTATGAGGTGGCATCTGCAGAGTCTAAATACAGGCTTGAAATTGGTACTAGAATAACCTTGGTTACATGTGTTCTTTTTATGTTCTCACTTAAAAGAAAGCATAACTTGGCAGTAATACAGAATACTGCTGATCTGCATTTTAAACTGCTGGCTCTGTGAGCATCTCCTAACTTCTCAGCTTCTTGGTATAGCTAGGATGAGTGTGCTCCCCTTCTTGTGGAAGCAAGGATGGACTTACACTTTTACTGATATTTCTGCATTATAATTTGGAACAGGAATATTTGTTGTGCTGTAAAAACGTATATGTGTATATACAGATGCGTAAATGTGTACGTACATATGCATAGGTATGATAAGAATAGTGATTATAATTTACACGTTGGTTGTGACTATCAGTTGACATCTGAAACACGTGATAGGAAATTAAACTGAATCAATTTTATAAAGTAACAAACTGTGCAAACCATGATTCTGCCTTCTTAAGAGTGCCCTGCTCTATTAAAATATTTCTAGCTTCTGAACTAACTGGATCCACAACAATTATCTTCAGTTCATGTTTAGAGACATTCTACTGGGAACATGAGTTTTTCCAGAAAAGTTATGTTACTACACAGTTTATATCATTTAAACTGTGTAGTAATGCCTGTCCCCAAATGGCTTATAAAGAAATTACACTTGAAAATTTTGTTTTAGCAAATTATATATTCTTTTAGATTTTTAAAACTATATGCTATATCACTCGTTCTCTATACACACGCACACACATATATATATTTATATGAAATAACTCGAGTCTTTCAGTTCTGCAAGTAGGATCTTATAATGAAGACCGTTGCTGGTACTGAGAGGATTCTTATGCTTTTGAATCCATAACAGAGCTCTATAAATACTGGTTGCTGATGGTATAATGTCTTTTCATTTTGCTGCTGTCTAGAATGTAGACTCACAAACTTGGGCTTTGTGACATGATAGTGTTTTTCATTATGTGGAAGAACCATGAACTGACAGAAAGATGTTTAAAGATACAGTGGGCACTGCTTAGTGTATCCAAGTTCTTTGTTTATTATGACTTCCTAATAAGAAGCTGTTTAATATATTTTCAGTTATACTTGCAATATATTTCCTGTAGATTTGTCTGCTTTATGTTTCTAGATGTCAAAGACTTGATATTAACTGTGGGTTTTAGTATATAAACTTTATAAAAAAGCATCTGATTCCAGAGGTGGGCTTGATATGATAGCATATATTATTTTGCGCTAATCTATTGATTTCCTTTACTGAAATGTGTATAACTCCAACTTGCATTTGCAAGATATGATCACTGACCTGTACGTCAACTTTGGAAAAAAATTGCTATCTATTACATGAATCTAAGATTCTTTGAACTCTCTCTTGCTTATATTTTTTCTGCTTTCAATTTACCGCTTTTCTATATTGGTGATTTTTCTTATTAATCTGAAGGTGAAGCTGTCAAGAAAATTAAGTGGTTACTTCAGATGCCTAGAGGAAGTAGTCATCTTTCTTGAGGAGTAAGATTTTTTGAAAGTACCAAACAGACTCAAAATTCCCTGCTCCCCATTTCAGAAGTCACTCTGACTTCTACTTTCTTGATTTAGCCTTGCTACTTGGGCTACTAAATGTGGTCGTTTTAGAATTTTGCTTCTGTGAAAGCTTTCTGATCTTCCCGAGTAGAACGGCTGCTGGACAATGCGATTTTGAATAAATCTCTGAATTCTGGGGGAATAAAGCAACAATGCCTTCACTCTTTGCTCAGTGCATACCTTCTTTTCTCCCCTCTCCCTCTGGCCTTTGCCGAGCTGCGGGAGTGCCAGAATGGGGCCCGTGGAGTGCTCTGCCACTGTCTGCGGGGACAATGGCCACAGTGTCACCCAGGCCTACACAGGGGCTGCTGATGGCGTTTCTGTGGAATGGCAGTGGTGTGTGGCATCTACTGAAATCTGTAGGATAAGCAAATGCAAAAATTCCTATAAGCTAGCAGGCCTTTGGAAAGGCCATGTTGTGGCCTCTACGATAAATGCCACAAATAGCAGAGCTGTCATGAAGGAGTTGGTTCAAACTGGAGGCTGCGTGCCAGTCATGGTCAGATTTGAACTGTGGAAAGAACTTCTCATCTTCCCACCCCTGAGCATGTGGTGTGAGCCATCTGCTCTAAATCTTTGTCTCCTGTCAGCAGGAGACAAAGATTTTCCTTAAAACCTGGCACACAGAAGAAGAGCCTGTTTTCATTACCGGCACTACAGACATATGGAATGTTTACATTCCCAGTTTCAGGTACAAGAATCACAGAATGATGGAATGGATTGGGTTGGGAGGTACCTTAAAGAACTTCTAGTTTTTAAACCCCCAGCTTAGGCCAGGACACCTTTCACCTGACCAGGTTGCTCAGAGCCCCATCCAAACTGGCTTTGAACATTTCCAGGGATGGGACATCCACAGCTTCACTGAGCAAACTGTTCCAGTGCCTCACCTCCCTCACAAGAAAGGATTTCTTCCTAATACCTAATCTGCACCTACTCTCTTTAAAGCCCTTACCTCTTGTCCTGTCACTACATAGCCTTTCCTTCCCTTCTCTCTTAAGCCCCCTTTAGATACTGGAAGTTTGCTGGAAGGGTCACAAGAAGAACAGATCAGACTTCAGTACTGACTGCCATTTGCTTCAGCTCTAGTAATACTGAGCTCACCAAGTGAGCTTGAAAGTGGCCATTTTAAAATGCTTTTTAGAAATATGGTAAAATGATGATCAGTCTTCAATTACTATATTTATAAAGCAGCAGACTATGATACGTAAACTAATCTCAAATAAAACCTTCAGGTTTTTTTCCTTTGTTACTGACTTCCAAAAATAATATTTTTAGGAAAAATAAACTCTTGAAGATTTCTTATTATTTATCTAATGCAATTTTGGGTACTGAGATTGCAGAAATACATGGATAGAGAGCAGCCATCTTATTTTCTGCCCCTTGAAACAAGCCACTGTAGGATATAGACAACTATACATGTTGCATTATGTTCATCTTCTGCTTGCATGCTGCTTCTGCTGATCTGAGCATCAGCTCTTAGTGGTCTGCTTGTTCTTTTTGTCTTTTGAAGATAACACACTTTATTTTTCACTGCATTCATATAATGGGATTCATAAGTCACTGAGATGTATACCAAAATGATAAAAATGCTAAAGTTAGCATTGTAGAAACCATATTAATTTTTAGAAGATAATAGAGAAAAAGTTAGCTCAGAAAAAGAAGCCTTCTGCTGTTTAAAAAATAAAGATACAGAAAAACCAAGACTATTTAGTGACACTTAATAGTGCAGAATAATTAAATTTTTCAGGTACTGAATTTTCCTTGTGTTGTTGTAGTTTTGGGGTTTTTTGATGTATTGAAAAAAACATTGAAATTTCTCTATTTTTTTTTTCAAGGATATGTATAGATTTGAAATATGGTAAACAGTGTTTGTTATAGTTTTATAATCTGCTGTGTGTATTTTTAAAGTTTTCCTGAATAATATCTTAATTAATAATAATACCTTAATTACAGGTACTTAATAACAGTACCTGTAATTAAGGACCTTACTGATTTACTTATCTTAATTTTCTCTTTTTTTCTTTTTTCTTCTTTTCCTACCCTCCCACCCCTCAGAAAAGAGCAAGAGGACAAGTGCTGTTTGATAAAGTATGTGAACACCTCAATTTACTGGAAAAGGACTATTTTGGGCTGTTGTTTTATGAGAATTCAGAGCAGAAGGTAAGCCTGTATGTTTTTCATCACTGTCACTCACTTTAATAGTTCAGTGAGGTATATTCTAGTAAATGTTTACCATTTCAAACACTTGAGTACATTTTGCTGCCTTTTCCCATAGATGTGTAAGAATGCTTTGTTTGTGAACATGAAAGGAATCTAGCCCTTAAGTCTGTTACGACTAGGCCTTTGACTTCCTTTATTATTAATTTAAAGTTTAAAGAAAATTTTTGGCCTTTGTAAAGAGGCTGAAGCTGGTCCATCACTGGTATTGGAAGCCAGTTTTACAAATGAATGGCACTTGAGATGACTGCATTTGAAAGGATTTCTTAAGTACCATTTGGTAACTTCCATCTTCTGTTGCACTTGCTTTTTTGTTGGGTGGTTGAGCATATCTAGATTGCTCAGCTGAGGAAAATCTTAAATTAGTCAGTGGCAAGTGCTCCATTAATTACCAAAACCCAATTTATCTTTTTAACATCATAACATTTACAGTTTTGGGCTGGACTGCTTGTTGCTTCCTCCATGAACTAAAGATTTATGTGTTGTTATGTGTTGTCATTTTTTCTTCAGAAAAAATCAGATTAATAATTACAACGTGAAGCTGGAAAAATTGTATTTCTTTTTAATCTCTTTTTGTAGTAAAAGCGTCATTACATCATACTGCAGCTAAAAGTTATTGCTTTTTTTCTGTCATCTTCCTCTTAACACTATTTAAAAAAAATCAGTGTAATTTCATGATCTGAATAAATCTGAATTTCTGACAACTTCCATTCTGATAAAGCTCTTTTCTAGAGTTAGTTGCTTTGGTGCAACGCTTTCTGTGCAGTATTGAGCAAAATACTCAATTCCTCTATATTAAAAATCCCCATATCCAGAATGAGCTTGTTATATAATTACTTAGATATTTAATTTTTGTTCTTGATTTCAAAATCATTTCCAAATGTAAGAACTTCTTTGGTGTAACAATGAAGAACATCTCTGTTGATCTTCTAATTAATATAATAATCTTATCTGTTATTTTCACTTGTTGCTTTATTTGTGCTTCTCACTATTGAAAAATTATACTCTATACACACAACAAAATAATATCAAACAGCAGTCTGATCTCTAGCAAGAGAGAAAAGGTCTAATACTAGACCTGAGATCCTTGACCTGTACCAGAAAATAGCCCACTGAGTAGATTCTAGGAGATAAAATAGGGAGCTTCAGGTTTTTGAAAGTTGAGCAAAAAAGTCTGGATTGGTGTTGGGTTATGTCTTTTTTTTTTTTCCCTCCTCTTTTTTTTTTTCCTTTCCTCTAGTTAGACTAAGACTTTCTTGGTATTCTTCAGTCATTGGAATAGAGAAACTGAGGTCCACTCTTTAGAAAGACCCCATCTTTTTTTCATATGTCTTTTTCCTTGGAGATACTAAAAACTTGGCTGGATATGAACCCGGGCAACCTGACCTAATTAAAAACTGGCTCTTGAATCACACTTGGGCCAGTTATGTCCAGACGTGTCTTTCAGTGTGAATGAGTCCTTGAATTCCTTATCCATTGACTGTGAAGGTGGTACTCTAGCAACACTTACAAATATTTACATAAATTAAGATGCATTTACATAAATTGAGAAATATCTGATAATGGGGTCCTTATTCAGAAGTAGCATAGATCACTTCTCACCTGCGTTATGGACAGCACCAGGCTTGTACTTAAAAACTTCTAGAGAAATGTCGTTCTTTTTGTTATGAACACTAAACAACCTGAGTTGATGGATTTTGTCTTCTTCATACCAATACATTCCTAGTGTTATTTGGAGAAACTTAAAAAAACCTCTTTCCTAGCAAGTTTATGTTTCACATCTCTACTTTCTCAGAACTTTTGCTGGCTTTAGGGCCCTCTATTTTGTTCACCTCTATATTGAGTTACTTTTTAATTTTGGTACCAGATCTTTTTTTTTTCTGTTATGACTGTTCCCTTTTTAGATTAAAATGCCACAAATCCCTGCCCTCCAGGCCAGTCAGTACTAAACGCTGAATGATGTCTTTTTCCCATTCTTGTGCACTCATCACAGCCACCCATTTATGATCCAGCTGTTGAATGCGACGGCAGCTGTGGCACGTGGCAACTGAATGCCAGGCACTCTGTTGAATTAGAGCTGCTCCCCAATGCACCATCGGGGTACCATTGGAGGAGGAGTCCCATTAACTCTTCTCCATGGGCGTTCTGTGCAGCTGGGAGAGAAGTGATGGCTTCCAATCAGACTGATTTTTGTTAGCTTTAATACACATTTTAAAACTATTTAGGACAAATTAATGATTTCTTTCATTTTTTGCAAATGTTAAATTTATTAGCCTGAAGTTTAGTTAGAGATTTCGTTGCATCGCACCCTCAGAAGTTCATGAATGCTCCATTCACACTGTAATTGGTCTGTAGAAGTGTTAGAAAGCTTCTGCTCTTATGTTTTGGGCACCAGCTGGAAATGCTGCTTTTCTGGATTTGTACAAAATACTTTTGTACTGGTAGAGAACATTTTGTTCTTCGACAATACATTACTTTGTCTCATCTATAACCTTACCATTCACAAATTTAACAAATAGATTTCTGCCTACTGGAGCGAAGTAGTGTGTATACACTTTGTCTTTTGTTTTGAAAGACAAACCTGCCTATTTTGCATTAAGAGCTCTAATTTAGGGTAGATTCTTTTGTGGTGTTTGTTGTTATCCATGACAAAATGCACAGATGCAAAAAAAACCCCCACCCCTGTAATTGTGCCTATAAATGGAATATAAGCATCTGATTTTATTTGACAGAGTAATGAAAGTTGGTGGCTAAGTCTGCTTCCAATAAGCTTATTTCAGGCATGGAAAAATCAGAAAATGAACTGTGTAACTTGTGTAAAGAAGGGATTATTATTATCATCTTGCAGCATAGTTTGTATTGTATGTTCTTTTCTCTTGCTTTGTAGTGATAAAAGATGAAGCACTGGAAGTATTATGTACTCAGAAATCCTACTTTTCTGTTGTAGTTTTTCCATGCTATAGTCTCTATTTACTTGATGCTGTGTCTAAAATGTAAGGATTTAAGATACTTCTTATTGGAGTTGCGAGAATATGGCTATGGGTAATTTCAGAATGGAATCCTTGCCAAAACTGAAAACCTTGGATGATAGCTGTAGCTGAAGTGAGTCTCAGTTAAAATTATTTGAAGACTTACATTGTCTTCCAGGGCCTTTCCATGTCAAGGTTCTTCTAACAGAAAGCAATTTTTCTGATTTAAGCGGTCTAAATGGTATCCAGGATTTTGGAGAAGTGCTTTCTAACTCTTCCTTTGTAAAAATGCTATGGACTTTGTCTTCTCTGGAAAAACTGTCATAGCTATGGAAAAGTAGAGATCACAGATAAAGCAAGAAATGTGAAATTACTGTCTTTTTAAAACATTACAATTGTAATAAATTTTAAAAATGGGGTTTTAATTTTAATTTGTAAATAATATTCATCTAATATACACATGGTGCACTGGTGATGAAATCTACTTGGACCAAGCTCATTTACAACAGGCACCTTGGTGTGTTGGTCCATATTCATAGGAGACACATTCTCTGTCAGCAGGGGTAATCTATGATAAAGATTTGCACTGCTGCAGAAACGTAGTTCCACATCCTCCTAATTCACACAGATCTGTGAAACTAGACTAGCATTTTTGTCTTCTTGAAAGAAGATGGACTTTGGGTGCAAAAGCCCCTAATAGAGACTGAGGGATATGGTATTGGGAAACAATGTTACATCTGGAATTTGTTTGCTACCATAGACTGAAAAAGGTGGGTCTCATTATACCCAGGATGTTCTGCTTTGCTAAGTTGGGTGAGAAACATTGGCAGAAATAACTTTTTGGCAACATTTGTGCTGGCACTGAGGTATTCCCTCAGACTTTAAAACTGCAGGTACCTGCAGTGGCCTGTGAAAAAGCAGATATTTTCCTTGGCCTCACAAGGCAGTATCTAACTCTTCCCTGCATGTCATATCTGTCTTTGAAACATTGCAAGACCTGCTGTTAGGCTGGCTTTATGCGTGTTTCTTCTATGAAAGTGCTTGTGTGTGTGTGGCCATGAGAAGTAAAGGTTCAAACACAATGAAGGAAAGTCTCAGTAATTGTAGTTAAAAGCTTTATGTTCCTAGTCTCTTAACCTGTTTTTTTAAACATGTATAGGTAAAACTAGTAAACAGGATTGTCTGAGTTAGCACTGAATATATGTTACAGATTCCTTAGTTTCACTTCCAAAAGTTAATTTTTGGATGATCTATCACAAAACAGTCTCTTTGCACACATCAGTAGTAACTGAAATGTGAAAACTAATTAATATGTTGCACAGATTATACCAAAGTATTTTTGGTATTGAGGATTTTAAATGCTGGCTGTGGTTTGCTTGTTCTTTTTTTTTTTCCCAGAACTGGCTAGATCCTTCGAAGGAAATTAAGAGACAAATTCGAAGTAAGTACTTCTGTATTCAGATGTTATGCTCTTTTTTTTTCTCACAGAAATATTCTTCATAAATTTAGTAGCCTGAATGTCAATTGCTTACAGCTTTAAAATAATTTCTATCTGATAGTGATGTATTCACCTTAAAACAGGAAGCAAATCTTCTATTTCCATGTCTTGTCCAAGTAGGGAGAAGAAGAAGGAAGTAGAACTTAATGATTATACTTTATTATATGTTATTATTATATCACTATATTATGATGATTAATCATTATATTGTATTAGGAACTAATCACATATATTAATGCCCCAAAAATTTCCCTTGTTTTGTGAGTAATAGCCGATATTTTTGCATCCTGAAACTGTAGATGTTTTTCAATTTTGTGCTGATAGTTGGTTATTGGATGGAGAATGCGATCACACAAAGATGGTGATGATTGTCATAGAACTTTCTTACTTTAAAGAATCACCAGAAGAATATGAACCTACAAAAGGAGAATTAATATGTTTTACAGAAAATGAATATTCTTCAGTACTGATCAGTCCACCATTGATTTTTTGGTAATGTCCATCATTTTCAGAATGGAGATGGAATAGAGAGCATAATCTTGGAATGTCTCACTACAGTACTTTTCAGACTGAATCTGCTTGAAATGCCTTTCTACTTCCTATACTTAGTACATGATGAGTAATTTATTTTGCTCTGTTTGCATAAAGCTCTGTCAGAGCTCTTTACTAGCTAGGGAGCGTATGGAGAGTAAATCTAGGTGATACTCTGCTTGAGTCGACATATCACAAAATAAGTGGCCACTAAAACATGCTAGACAGCCCCCGTCCTTACTGAACTTATTGTCGTTGCCTTACTCACTTGTGGCCAAACTAGGGTTTTTGTTGTTGTTTTGTTTTTAATGGAAACCTTCTGGTAGTACCTGATAGGAAAGTGGGGAGAAGAGGCTTATGATAATATTTAAAAGCCTAGACTTACAACATGAGAATTTAAGCTAAGAATTTGACTGTACTTGTAATTAAGAACAGCAATGTGTTATTTATAATGACAAACAGATGGTTTCTTTATTGCTGTTAACTCCACATTTTAAGGCAATACTTGTTTTTTCCAGAAGTCATAATGGTGTTAATTCCTTTTTCTTCACATCTTTGCCCATTCATTAAATCCATTAATAGGAAGGTGTGGTTTATATCTCATTATAGAAATGAAAGTTACAGAAACATCTTTGGAAGCTGGTTTTTTGATCCAACATGCTTTTGTGTAAGCAAACTAGACCTATTAAAACAGTGAATGTACTAATATGCAAGTAGCACCCACACTTTTAATTGAGGAAAAGTTACTGGTATTGGAACTTCTGCAGGTCTTCAGTGAAAATTTATTAGCTGTCCAAATATGCAGGCTAAAGGCTGTTTGGTTTTAATAAATGAAAAAATATGGAGGATGTTGATACTTTTTGTATCAACTTTGCTGATACAAATGTTGATATCTTTTTGTATTCTGTAGCACTCTGCATGCTATCTAATAGCCTACCAGTTAGTGTCACAAATTTGAACTGTAAGAACCTACCTGAACATTTTTTGGATGCACTACACGAAGTTCTTTTTAATACTGTATCATCTGCACTACAGAAATATAGGTTAAGGTGGTTTGATTTTCCATACAGCATGAAGACCTACATTTTACACTGGAGAACAAGTCTATTGAAAGTTATTGTATAAAGAATCATGATGGGATGTTTTTTTCTCCTCTGGTCTGTAGTATTTCAAAGTTGATAGGCATAATAAAATAAACAGTGAAGTAAGAACATGATTTAAAGGATTTTAAAATGATGCTTGCTTACACCTATGTGCAAGTAATTAGGATAGTGTTAGCTGTGTTCCTCAGCATTAGTCTATTAAAGTTTCCAGAAACTGGAATCTTACTGTAGGCACATTTAATCCTCCAGCTACATAAGTATCAAATAATGAGACTTTTTTCTTTTCAGACTTACTTAATTCTAAATATATTTGTCTTTAATCAAGAATGGAAATCCTGTGTGCAAAAGTACTCATTAAATTTAAGATACCTGTAAAACCTATTAGTCCATTTGAAAGTTGAAAATGAACATTGATCAAATGAACTTTTCAACCTGAGATTAGCTCAGTTGGATAGAACCTGGTGCTAAGAAACAAAAAACAAGCCAAGGTTGTGAGTTCAATTCCCTCTATGGGCCATTCACTTAAGAGCTGGGCTTTCTGATCTTTGTGGGTCCCTTCCAACTCTGAAATTTGGTGATTTCTTTTTCTCTTGTATGGCACAAACTGAAGCACTAGCATGCTAGATAAGTGTATTTGGACAAATACATTGATCTGAATGCATAAAGGTGACACTTTCAGAAATGTAGTTCAACACATCAGTTTGCAACATAATACTTAAAATAATCTCTGTCTCTCTTAACTGTGAGCAACACCAATACTCTGCACATTGGGGATGTATGTTCCACCTGTGCCTGGAAAAGATGAAATAAGAATCCCGTGGTCTCCCCCAAGTCATGTTCTGCAGGCTGTCTCTTGCTGTGACACAGTCCTCAGCCCCTCTGTGAGATCTCTTACTTGTACAGGTTGGCCTTTGGCTGGGCAGTTATGTTGGATCTCAGCAATTACTGATGTTACTTCAGCTAATGAACATGATCCACAAATTACTGTCTCTGTTCTCAGGGCTACAAAGGTGACAAAAATCTTGTTTGCTTTCAGCCAGCCTGATCTCTTCAGGAAAGTGAATTCTTGACTTTTTTTAACTCATGTACTTGGCTATCCACTGGCATGTGTTAAAACCTCTAATTACTTCTTTCAGGGACAGGTAGGTAATTACATTTCTGTCACTATCTTTTTGAAAATTGGTACATCTCAAGTGGATTCAGGCTTTTGCAGAGCTGAGAAACAGCTAGAATATTATGATGGTACAGGCAATAGCAAATGACATTCAAATAGTCAAATCTCAGATTACACAGAGGGTGTGTTGGGTCACCCTTACATAAAATGCAATTTGAGAGTTTATCGGTTTAAACCAAAGGTAATATTATGTCATTTAATATATTTCTAGCCTGCAGCATGGTTAGTATTTTTACTGCAAAAAATACTCCCACATCACATATTTTGTGTTCTGTATGTTGTAAGAAATGGAGAGGGTTCAGATGTTCTGAGGACAGAATAGGCTGGAGAAGTAAGAGAAGTTTTAATTAATTAGGAAAGAGCTTGCATTTCAGCTGCACAGCTCTGGCTGTCTGATTTTAGTGCTAACAAATGTATGGGTATGCTCAGGCATCAAAATATGGTGGTCACTTTATGCAGGTTCACATGATTTTATGTCCTTCTATTTTATATATATTTAGCTATATATCTGTAAGAGTTGTAGCTACTTTTCATCTAAGCTGATTACACTAGAGTCTAGATTGTCATTGTTGAAGAGAACTAAGTACCTGTGCCAAGAGAAGGGTTTCCTTGCAAAAGCTGACATACAAGAGATCATGAGTAAAAGCCAGAAAAAGCCTTTACTGGAAAAAAAACCCCTCACTGATTTTTCCCAGTTTAAATGGGATGAATCATGGTAATTGTATGCTGCTACTGGTTGGTTATATTGCATTCTTTTCTCTAAGAATGGGCATAAAGTTGCCACAAAAGCATTCTTGATGTAACAAGCTGGCTAGAAAAATTTTTGACATTTCTGTAGCCCATACAACTGAAAATCAAAACAGAGAGCCTTATCAGGGACAGAATGCTAAATACAATTTTAAATCAGCTTTGGGGTTGGTTTTTTTTGTTTTGACTACCACCTCTATGAAGAGCCAGCAATGATGTGCATTGTTATGTGAGGACAACTATGATTATATGCCTCGTTTGTGCAGTTATAAAAAGTCTTCTTTAATGTGAAGTAGAAGTGTAGACTGTGCACATTGTAATAAACTTGCTACTCTGTATTTAGGGGATAAATGTGTTTTCACTAATCAGGTAAAATACATGGTCACCAGCTGTCCAGAAAATATTTAGTACAAAATCAATCTCAATATTTTTTCCACAAATTAGCAATTTAATCAGTGTAAGTAGAGATACGATTTTTTTTTTTTACAAAGCCTGCTCACTCAGAGGATTTATGCACTTTTTTATAGAGAATATAGTTTTTTCAGGTTTTTTTTTTTCTTCAAACCACACCTAAGTCTCCTGGCTGCATTACTTTCTGAAAGTTAGCTGTAGAAATGCTGACCAGAAAGAGCAATAGTTAAACAGGAATTCATATGTGACTAGTTTAACTGCAACTTCAGACCAGGAAAAACTTGAAGACTGGTTTAGTACCAGTGTGGAAGGACACATCCTTCATCCATTTCTCCAGCTCTGTTAACATGACAGCTCTCCTTGAATGCTTTTTGCGCAGAGATTTTGGCCCTACTGCTCATACTCATCACTTTGGTTTACCCAGTATCAGTGTCTTTCCATTAAATTATGCTGATTCCCTGGGAGAGGATGGAAGTAGGTTAATCTAATCCATCTTTAACTGTGTTTGTTATGCTGTATGTGTTCATTATTGTTAGACTTTTTTTCCAAGATATTTTTGTCTTAATTCTGTTTTGCACTGCTTCACAGTAGAAAATGCAATGATAAATGAGACCTCATTTAAGGGTCCTGCCTTATTTTGTAAACAAAATTGTAAAAAATCTTGATAACTGGGAATGTTAAGATACACAAAAACCCAGAGCTCTCAAAGAGAAATAGTGGCTTAGCAGCCAGGTGTAGAATGAGGTTCACACTTAAATAAAAATTGAAGTGCTTCAGTGAATAGCCATGTCTGAAAAACCAAAATAATTTCTGAACCGTTGGAAGACATTAGAAATTCTAACATAACTCTTTACCTTTAGTATATACGGAATTTCAGAACAGTTTTTTTTTAAGAAAGTAACCTTAAATAATGTCAGCACTTTTTTCTAGCATTGTGTTGAAAGTGGGATTTCAGTCTTTTTGTGTTGCTGTAGAAAGACATATTTTTCAAAGCATGATTTATCTGTGTAATGCAGAGTTCTAAAATAATTTACTGTCCAAAATACTAACATTCTGAAAATGTATTTTAATTATAGATGTGTGATTTAGCTTTCAAATCTTAAAAATTTATTTTAAAACAGAGCTATGACTAAAGGCAACATTTTATTCTTTTTCAAATTATTAATCTAGTTTTAGTCATGTTTTGCATTAAAAAATGCATGTATTATTAACAAGTCTAACATAAGAATTGAAATATCACTGTTATTGTAGTTGTTTAATGTGGTGTTTACCAGAAAAATATTTTAAAGTAGGAATGGCTAATATTTTGTCTTCCACACATTCTCAATGAACAATTTATTATATTTCTGTTACATACAACAACAAAGAGCTCATTTTGATGTCTCATGTTGGCAGTTACTGTACAGTCTCTCAAACTAAGTTTAGACAGGAGGAGACTGTTAGCCTTGGAGGAGTTGGAAATAAAAACAAGTTCAATGCAAGTGCCTTTGAATACATAATATCTTAGAAGTGTTAATATATTATGGTCTTTTTCAAGTTAAAAATGTCTTCTGATATTTGTGTAACTTACTGTAAAACATTATTTAAAAATAATTTTAACATGTTAATCTTTCATTATATCTGTGGGGCTCTACCTGCTAGTGAAAATAATCTATGGTTCCGAATGATGTACAGTGAAAAACTGATGTACAGTGAAAAACAGAAAAAAACTTCCTTCGTGATTTCAGTGATTAGGATTTATTCTACTTTCTAACATTTTTCAATAAAGTTTTTTCTTTGCTTACTTGGACTTAATTGAGATTAACAATCAGATATTTCCCATATTTAGGTCTACCTTGGATATTCACCTTTAATGTGAAGTTTTATCCCCCTGATCCGTCACAGTTGACTGAAGACATCACTAGGTATGCACAGGTCCTAATTTTAAATTTTAAATTACTGTTAGTCTAATTTAATAGCCAATAGAATTTCTTCTTCAGTTTCTGGGTACTGTACACTATAGATATTCTTACTTACATCAGCTGCTTTTTGGAACAAGTTTGAAAAGTTACAATGAAGACTTCTGGAAAAAAACTGAGCAAGAAGAATTTAATGTTAAGTGGGGATATGATTTGGGCAGCAGGTAAGGTGTGAGTGATAGTATATGAAAGAAGCTGGTGGTTTATTGCCAGACTGCTGCTTTGTTATGAAACAAATGAAGGCATGTGGGTCTTGAAGAAAGCTCTAGGGATCCAAGATACTTCAGTAATAATCCAGACTAGGTAGATGAAAATGTGGATTTACACACGTGCTTTAAATAAAGCCACAAAACATAATAAAACCTGAAAATAATTATCTTCCCAACTTAGACAGAAAATACTTGGAATGCAGTGGATACTAAGCACCTAAAAGTAGCACTGCAAGGCTGTTAACTGGAGATAGATTACAGGGAACTGATTTTTCTCACAAGTTGCAGGAAACCTAAATACTTTGGTTTGGAGTTAGCTGACTCTGCTGAGGCAGGATATATGTTACTACTACATGTTGCATTTCATCAGTCTTCTGCACACAATAAGATAGCTATGCAAGTGTGCAGCTAATATATTGCTACAAATAGGGATTTGTAGCATCATCAAAGGCATTTAGTACAAAGTGCATTTACAAGAAGTTGTATGTATTTTCTTTGAAAATTTTCAGTGAGTTGGTTTTTCTGTTTCTTGTTCAACTCATAAAAACATGTTTTGGTTATATCTTCAATCTAAGTTTCACTAGTAAGAATTTATTTCACTTGTATTTTTAAAAAAATCTCTGCTAAGGTGGGCATGTCTGCTGATGTTTAACTTGGTAAATTTGGTGGAAGGCTGTATACAGTACCTGAAAGATTGAATTCTAATACATACCTAGTTTAAGAAATGTAATTGTGATTTCAGTACTACAGAAACTGGATTTTTCTTGTATTACATGACATGATTAGCATGTGAACTGCAAGGGATATAAAAGTTGGAGTTTCAAAGCCAAAGGGAAATATCAAAGAAATGCATAGCTTATATTTTTAAACCACAGATACCTACAGGCTACAATGTGAACTAAATGAGTTCCTAAGTCATCTTTTGTTTGAAACTAGATAGCTTTTTATTCATTTGTACTGGAAATCAGAATTCTTTCTGCTTTTCAAATTTTTAATGAAAGTTATATTGACCCTTAAAAATCAAGTGAAATTTACTGTGTGGTAATAACGCTCAAATAATATAATGTCATTATTAATGTATTCGCTTACTTTAAAACATGCTTACCCAGTTACATGCATCTTGATGAATTCTGCCATATTTCTCATTATCTGTCATAGGTAACCCTTTCTTTGTTCTTCTTTCTCTCTGGTTGTTTTTTTCTCATTTGTCTTGCAGGTATTTCTTGTGCCTACAGCTTCGCCAGGATATTGTATCTGGCCGACTGCCATGTTCTTTTGTGACTCACGCCCTCCTTGGTTCATATACCCTGCAGGCTGAGCTGGGTGATCATGACCCAGAGGAGCACAGCAGTGATTATATCAGTGAATTCCAGTTTGCACCCAATCAGACCCAAGAAATGGAAGAGAAAGTGGCTGAGCTACACAAAACACACAGGTATGTCAGATACAGTGGGATTAAAAGAAGTCATCATGCTTTGTCACATTTATGTCAATTCTCCCTTAGGAGTATGTGTAAATCTGCTGAGGTAAACTTATTGTTACTTTGGAAATCATTTCTTATGTAACTAAAAGCTCTTACTTTGGTGTGTTTAAAAAGTTGAGTTTGAAAACAGTAGTTGCACTAAAGTCTTGTTAGAGAACTTTTGGAAAAAAGTATTTTTATATGAATTAGTTTCATATAAAACTAATTCATGCATGCATGCATCTGTTTGAATGAGTGAAGGTGGAAATCTGTACTCAAGTAAAATAATATGCTGTGAAAGAACACGTTTCCTGTAGAGCAAAAATGTTCTTGATACCTTGTAAACTGAGGTTTTTCTATCAGTCTGAATTCCAGGATTCCGCTCAGTTTTGACACTCGGTTTTTTTGCCAATAAACTCAGAGCTTGTTCAATGATTTTAGGGGCTTGACTCCAGCACAGGCGGATTCCCAGTTCCTAGAAAATGCTAAGAGACTCTCCATGTATGGAGTGGATTTACATCATGCCAAGGTATTGGGGATTGGGTTTGTTTGGTTTTGTTTTAGGATAGACATGCTAAGTACTAAAGAAAATACTATCTATATAGATTATTTTTTAAAAGGCCCTATGCTTAATTTTTCGCTGTAGGCTGTTATCTCTTGGTTATAATAATTACTCAATTTACAACTCTAACATCAGTAGAATTTATATATTTATTTTATTTAGTGCATAGACATGTGCAACTTGGAAATAACATTTCACTCCTAAGAGCAAATAAAAACATTTAAAATGTCATATTTTCTATGCTGAGGAGATGCAAGGCCAATAAAGTAAAGCATAAAAGAAAATGTAATTGTTTTCAAAGTACCGTGAGAATTAAAAACAATATGAGGGGGAGGTCGTGGGGGAGGATTTTGGTGCTTTTTCCACTTCCTGGGGTAGATCAAATAAAATTTTAATTTCAGATGGGAATTTTTTAAATTTTTTTGTTTTTGTTAAGACCTCAGAAGACAAACTAATAACCTCCTCCCACTCCCTCTCATAAATCCAGAATCTCAAAATCATTAGGAAATTTAAAGTATTGCAAGCATATCAGTCTTGCGTTTAAAAAAAAAAAGAAAACAAAGACTTTTAAGTACTGGAGAAATATGGTTAAATTTTGTTTTGTTAATTTTGCCAGTGAAGCAACTCCATAATGACTGTGTTGGCATTTGATGTAGTTGATCAGTTGTTGGGGAGGACATGAGATTCTGCTGTATTGTGTAGTGTATCAGTAAGTGACTCGTTTTGTAGCCTGTAAAACTTGCATCAAATGCTGTCAGTCAAAGAGAATGCTCAGAAACCTGTCCATTACCTCCTCTGTCTTTGCTGGAATAGTACATGACTGTACTGGTCACCTTGATCACCAGCTTGTTCAGACTTCCACTGACTGCTTTAAGTGGGACAGGCTTGGTTTTCATTTTTCTGCTTTTAATATTTGTTGAAATTATTGCTAGCACACACACTGGCCATACCTTTCCTGCTTTTAAGTTGTTAACTTAGTCCCTATTACCAGAATATTGAAGAATTTCCCAGAACTGTGGCATATGAATGCCAAAACCATTACTTGGAGTCCAAAGTCTTTCCTATAAAATGAATATACTTGGCTATTTCTGATTTAAGAATCTCATTGTCAGAGTCAGGTTTGAATATGAAACATGTCCCAGTTACACTATTCCGTCAAGGTATGTCAGCACTAATTACTTGTTTGGAATGTTATTGAAGTGATTTTTATGAAATTGTCTCACACCTGGTAGGATTCTGAAGGTGTGGATATCATGCTGGGTGTCTGTGCTAATGGCCTGCTGATTTACAAAGACAGACTCCGGATCAACCGCTTCGCTTGGCCAAAAATTCTGAAGATTTCCTACAAGCGAAGTAATTTCTACATCAAAGTCAGGCCAGCAGAAGTAAGTAGGACCTTTCAGTCTTGTTTCTTTTGTGAGATCATTTCTGTCCAGCAATAAGAAAACATCCTCATTTTTTCCACATCTGTCCTTATAAGCTTATGATATATTCAAACAGAACTTATGATTGTTTTTCCTCTTCAGATTCTAATGTATTAAACACCTTTCTTGATTAGTAAAGGCAAACCAAGAAAAAGATCTATTTTATTTAAGTAAAATTCTTTTAAAAGGCTGGAAATCCTGATATTTTTCAAAAAGTTTTAAAAAGTCTTATGAAATCTTATGGCAGGAATATTACAGCTTGGTGCAGTAATGGAACTATCTGAACTCTACCTCTTAATTAATAGCCAGCTTAAGCAAATGGATTAATTTATTTATGGATTCTTTCCAGCTGGAACAGTTTGAGAGCACTATTGGGTTCAAACTGCCAAACCATCGTGCTGCTAAAAGGTTATGGAAGGTTTGTGTGGAGCACCATACTTTCTTCAGGTAAATGATAATTCTCTCCTTCCCCCACTTTGCAAGGTGTACTCCTATGTTTCTTTTAAAGGATAGAGGAAAGTAAAGATTTCCCCCTTCTTTGCCCCTTGCAGTATCACCTCTTAGATAGAAGATACCCTGACAATAATTGACCCCAAATTACCAATTCCTAAAGTCTCAAATACAATTAACTGCTTTATCAAAACTTTCAGAGTGCTAAGAGGATGGAACTAAACAAGTGGTCATGGAGCACTGGAGGTGTGCAAGAACTGTCAGGCCTCAATCCTGTGCCATGTGCTCTGGAATGACCCTGCTTGAGCAGGGAGGTTGGACCAGATGACCCACAGTGGTCCCTTCCAACCTGATACATTCTGTGATTTGTGGTAAGATTTCATGACAGACTGACTTTTCAGAATGACCATCTAAAAAGCCTTTATACATCATCACAGAAGCTCTTAGAGCTTTACAGTAAAATCTTCATTCAATTAATTTCAACATTCTGCTGAGTGTAAATGCTTCTAGCTGAATTTTTCTTTATTTATGAACTAGGTTGAGTTCACAGTCATTCTTCAAAAAGAACAGAATTACTTTAAACAGATTATTTGTTTACGTAATAATCTATAACATCCTCTGCATTTTTTTCTCCAGCAATGAGGAACACAGAATTCTGAACTGGTCATTGAAACTATGATCTATTTGTAAATGAGCACCTTAACAAGTGGCCAAGAGTTGTTCCTCTGTCTATTTCCTTCACTGAAAAGGATTTTGACATTATTTGATTTTTATGACACACATTCCATGAAGGTGTACCTATGCCCCCTGCAGCCTAGGAGTCACAGATTTAGGTTGAGTGTCCTATGAATTGGATAGGCATTGAATCTTAGTTTTTTTCTTCAAAGCACAGTACCTAGGGTGTGTAATGGTAAGCTTTCTCCTTCAGTAGCCTGTTTGTTTTAAAAAAAAAAAAAAAGGTATTTTAAAGTAGATGCAATCCTGTTGCTGAATATATTTTCTAGACAGAACTTCAGAGAACTAGGGGACCAGGAGGCCTAAGCAGATGATTACTGAAACTGGATGGTTTTCAGTATTCAGATTTTCACTGATTGTAGCATGTTCTTGAATGCAAAGAACTGATGCTGAAATTGCCAAATCTCAGCATAAATCAGTCTCCAAATGCTTAATTTAGAAGCACTTATTTTTTAAATGCTGATCAGAGATTTTTTTTTTCATGTTGATAGAATTCATTTATTAACACAGTCCAGCATTCTATTCTTATTGAAAATTTGAAGTCTGCTTTGGCTGGTGGTGTCTATTACCACAAATAGCATGCAGTTCTGTCTATAGTGAAAAGTTTATTAATACTCTTCAAATAACTCATGCAGTAATTTGCTTTGATGGTAAGATGTATTTCCTAGTTTTATAATAATAAAATAGACCTCAATAAGGAAAAAGCAAATCTTACGAAAGTCAAAAATCCTAAACTGACAACTACCATTTGCAAGTCTGAAAGCTTTCAGAAGCTTTAATAGCTATGAAATAACGTTTCTACAGAAATACTGACATAATAAAAATAATTGGATTTTATTCCAATCAGAAGTGGCTTTTCCTAACCAGGAATGACATTATAACAAGAATTATGTAACAAATACTTGAACCATTTTGTAAATCTATATACTCCACTGATGTCATCAGGGAGAAAATCCTCAGAACCTCTCATCCTGATTTAAAAACAGTAAAATAAAGCCAGCTCTATCTCCCTTCAAAGATAAACAGCAGAAAGCAATTGCAGTTCAAGAGACTGTAGCTCATCCAGAGCATGTGTAAAGCTCGTGTATGATGCCACAGTAAATTGTATACAGTTTAGATGCATATTTTTAGTTTCCAAATCTCTTAGCATGCCCTATATAACATGGTAGGATTCCTTGTGTTGTCTTATGTAATATTTCAGTTTATCTCAAATAATCACATTAAGATCTGTTTTCTTATAATGTATAGGAAATTCACTAGTATATGAAGTTATTTATAAAAATTGTAATGAACTGTATTGAAAATGACTACCAAAGGGCATTGTATTCACTTGTTATCAGCTCAGACTTAGAGGATTCCAGTAGCATTTTCAAAGAGCAGCAATCTACATAAAAAATGCAGTCAAACCATATATCTGCATAAAAATTTTGAGGTAAGCTTAGTTGGCAACTCTGGATCTTCACCAGTGTCTGCAGAAATGTGCTTTTATTTCTGCTTTATGATATTTTATTTGATATTTTCATGATTTTTTCAGTGTCTCCTCAGAATGTCTTAAAATGCACAGTTTTCAGTTATTTATGTAATTAAACATGTAATACAAAAATCCATTCAAATGCTCTTAATCAGGAAATAATTAGTTCTCTTGTTTTTTCCACATTAAGAGATTAAAAGTTTATCTCAGCAGGGTGGAAGATAAAAATGGCAGTTAATACTGCAACCTTGCCAATAATGGAAAATCAAGAATTGAAGGAACCTTGGAAAAACCCTTTTAGCCTTCTTCATCTTTCCCTTTTGGAAATAATGGGGAAAAGGAATGTCTTGAATTCTTTTCTTTATAAATGTTGAAACAAATTAAGATTTAGTGTCCCAGTAAACATCCCCTCTTAGGGAAAAAGGGGGAAGGTGTTTTTAAGATTTAGGTTTACTTCTCATTTCCTACTCTGATTTGACTGATAAAAAATTAAATTAATTTTTTCCCAAGTCTCATCTGTTTTGCTCATGAGGGCAATTGGTGAATGATGTCTCCCTGTCCTTATCTCACCCATAAGCTGCTTGTTACATTTATCTCTCTTTTGTCCAGCTGGGAAAGGAGAGTGTCTTTGGGGAGGCCCAGTTAATCAGCCGGGGTCAGCTCACTGTTCTGTTTGCTAGGTATCTGAAAATTCCCCAGTTTTGCTGAAACACATTTAGAATGATTGTTGCAGTCTTCAGAACCCAGTACTGGCTACTGCCTTAACATATATTGGATTGGATTCCGCTGACACAGATATTTCTGTGCAAGTGTTCAGAAGAGGAGAACAAAGTCAGCAAGTTTGAACTCTTGTGTGCCCATCTGTGCCATTCTCAGTACAAAGAGCATGTGAATTGCTGGTTCTGCTTGAAAGAAGTTGATGTTCAGTGAGCTGCTCATTCTTTGCAAATTCTCAAATCAAGAAGCTTTGTCTGCAATAATCTGATAGTTTTAGACAGAGAGAAAGTAGGCCATGATGGGTGAGCATGTATTTGCAGCATTACATTGATCCAGGAAACAACTTCAAAGACCTTTCCAGAGAAGTGGGGACTGGGAAGAGTTCTTGCACTGATGACTGTTTGCCTTATCAGCAAGAATGGCAGTGGACCCTCAGTGTTGCAGTTGATGGTCAGATTGCAGAAACAAAGCACAAGCAATAGGGTTAGATGAAGTCCTCATACTGAAGGAAATTCAGGGATGTAGAAAGGACCTGTCTTCAAACTCATGTGATGGTGGTACAGAATCACAGAATCAACCAGGTCTTGGAAAAGACCTTGGAGATCATCAAGTCAAACCTGTGACCTAACATCATCTTATCAACTAAACCATGGCACTAAGTGCCACATCCAGTCTTTCTTTAAACACGTCCAGGGACAGTGACTCCACCAGCTCCCTAGGTAGCCCATTCTGAACTTTCTGACAAGGACTCCAACATTTATGGTACAAACATACATAGCCAGCATTAACAGTACATGTAACCCTCTTTCTCACCCTTTTCACAATATGCTTCTTCACCCCACTCCTTATATCCAGCAAACATCAACCTATATAATTTTACCAATGGCATTGTAAAGAAACTAGAGTCTGAATGTAAACTGTCAAACATGTTGCTGTTGGGTACAACTCTCCAGTCTTCTCAATCTCTTTTCACTTGATACTCCCTTTTATACAGCTTTGAGATACCATTCCCTAATGTGGAAGAAGAGCAGCTGCTGTATTGGTACCTCAGAATATAGGAAAGGCAGTGGAAGTGGAATGTATAGCTTTTACTATAAGTAGCATTCTAAGGAGAGATCTGAGAGGTTACATGACCTATAATAGCTTCTGCTTTCTACAAAAAATTAAAATTTCACTAAGATAGCACCAAAACACAGGAGTCCCAGATGCTTCGTCATACCGTGGAAAAAATGTGATGGTTATCAGCATCACTCCAACTGCAAACAATAAATAACATGCATTGTTTGAAAGGTCTTTGAAGAGCTTACAGTAGAATCCTTTCTTGGAGAGCACAAGCTGAAGTACAATAAGTAGGTTCAAATTGCCTCATTAAATACTTAAAATAAAGCCTTTTAAACTGACTTTTCTCATATTTCCCTTTCAGACTTCTATCACCAGAACAGCCTCCAAAAGCAAAGTTTCTGACCTTGGGTTCCAAGTTCCGCTACAGCGGCCGTACGCAGGCACAGACACGACAGGCCAGCAACCTCATAGACAGACCAGCTCCGTACTTCGAACGCACCTCCAGCAAACGTGTTTCCAGAAGCCTTGATGGAGGTATGAAATTTCACTTATTTTTTCAGTGTTGTGATTACATTATGTGTTTCCACTCTGACCTGACCAACATTCGGAAATGTTAACGTTAAGGATGGCCAGAAGGTCATTTGATAGATTATGAATTTCAATTTCTAAAGCCAGTTTAGGTACTTGTCAGTGTTAGGTGACCTAAACATTAAGTTCAGTCACTGCCTAAATGGCATAGCACTGCTGTGGATATATGGAGTTCACTATAATGGGTATGTAGCATCTATACACACTACTCATGCCTTTTTGAAGGCATAGGCACACACTACAGTCTTAATAAAATTGTTGGGTCTGTGGCATCTTTTGAGATCTGGGCTGGCCTGAGCTTCTCTAAACAGAAAAGGCTGAACTAATTGTTTCTTAGAGTTTTCCATGATTTTGTTCAGTATATTGCTATCCTAGTATATTTATTCAGTACTTCAGTGTTTAGTTATACGTTTTTATGTTCACTTTGAATAGCTAAAGGTTTTTTTTTGTCATTACTGGTATTTGGTCTTTTTGAGCAGAAATATCTTCTAGTTTCCTTTATTGGAAACAGGCACCCTTTCCAAAGGCAGGTATAGCAGCACTGTGTGTGACAAATGTAATAGCACATGTCTTACTCAAAATCACTTCTGCAATAATATATAATAGAAAAACACTCAGCAAAATAACATGAAGCTTGACTCAGATTCAGGCATGCACAACCTCACCGGAATAAAAGTGAACCGAGACAGATGTGAGTTTAGCTACAATTGAGCTGTCAACTTTATCTTTTTTTTTAAAAAAAAAAAAGAATCTTTTACTTAGAAGAGTTTTACTTCTGCAAATATTCATTCTCTGTACTACGACAAATGAATGAACTGTGACACTTGCTTGGGAAACCTACCAAGTCTTACATTCTGAGAACTAAAGTAAAAATATGAGACAAAAGTCCTTTCACCATTATAGCATAGCATGTGATGACTTCTTGTGGCAACCAAAAAACCCATCACCACATCAGTGTTACTGAGCCTGGTTTTGTTCCCCTTCTTCTTTTGGCTAGAAACAATTTGAATTCTTCACAACTCTCAACTGTTTTATAATGAAGCCTCTCTGGCATCCCTTGTGGATTATCTACAGAATACAGGCACGCAGGCATGGGTATTCAGGCCCTAACTTTCACTCTTACAGAAGCATCAGGGTCAAAATTTTGAGCATGATAAAACATTGTTCTGAAAGCAGCTTTGCACAAAAGGATCTGGAGACTCCTGTGGAACACATTGAACATGAGTCAACAGGAGAATGCCGACGGTATCCTGGGCTATATTAGCAAAAGCGTAGCCGGCACATCAGAAGAAATTCTTGTTCCTCTCTATTCGGTACTTTCTGAGACTGTGCCTGAAATACTGTGTTCTTCTTTGGGCTCCACAGTACTAGATGGGCAGTGACATACTGCAAAGAGCCCAGTAAGGAGCAGCAAGCTGGCCAGAGGCCTGCGGGCCTGTGATATATCAGAAGAAGCTGAGGGGACTGTGGTCCTTCAGCTTTAAAAGGAGAAGGCTGCAATGAGGTATTGCTGTCCACAGCTACTGACAGGGAACCTATAGAAGAAACAGAGCCATGTGTTTCTCAGAGGCGCCTGGTGATAAGGCAGTGGGGTGTGCCTGCAAGTTGAGACACAGCAGATTTCAGTTACAAGTAACAAATTTTTGCTTATTTAAAAGGACCATGGAGGTACTTAAAACTCAACTAGACAAGCCCTTAAGCAACCTGGTCTACTTTGACTTTCTCTGAGCAGGGGTTTGGACTAGCTGACCTCCGGATGTTCCTTCCAACCTAAGTTACTCTGAAACTGACTTGGGGAACCTGAGCGATGTATACCCAAGAAATGCTCTATTTGCCACCCATGAAGGGATCAGAAGATTAAGTTACAGAACTTACAGAGGCTCCCCAAAAGCCCTACATCCCAAATGCCACATTTCCCATTAGCTGGGCTTGGCTTCATAGCATCTTAAGGGAGTCTCTGGTGTGAAGCTTACACTTTTTAAAAGAGGTTATCCCTCAAAGGTACTCCAAGAAACACCTTCCTCTCAACTTTCTGCACCTCAGCTTTGTAAAGCCAAGGCATGTGGAGATATTACAGAATGTTACTAAATGAATTAAGTTAGTATAAAAGTATTATTTATTAAAACTCCTTCATTTAATGAATTCTCTTGTATTTCATTACTATTATTTTGATTAAGCCAGTCATCATGATTTAAAAAAAGAGCCATCCTGCTCATTAGTCCTGTTAGGCTGAGTCAAATAAGAGGAAGATAATTTAAGTCCTTTCACTCTCTTGTGCTTTGACTATATTCAAGTATACTTCCTTAGTATTTCCCCCTTCTATTTTTTGCAAGCATATAGGGAGGAAAGTTCTTACTTTCACTGAGCTGTTCGGGCAGTTTTGCTAAGATTCCAGTGAAGAATACTGTGACAGTTATTGCATAGCTATTTCTAGATTGCATTGAAGTAGTCCTCTCAAACAGTGAATTTCCACAAAATACTCTTTCATATTTCTCTCTCTTTTTTTAATGGTGATTTATACACCCAAAAGAGCAATACCTTCAATTTATCTTCCGAGACTAATCAAGAAGTTGATAAATACTTGTCTGATACTATGAGGGTCTTTTCCATACATAATAAGTGCAAGTTTTATGATGGAGTGGTTTGCTGTTCATACGAGTGCAATGAGAACCACAGACTTTTTGTAAAGCCAAGAAACTGAAAAATACTGTATCACTCACAATGGATCAATACTAGCCTGTACTGATCATTGCTGATATAACCATAAAGTGTATTTCCTAAGAAGATTTAAAACCAAAATGTTTCAGCTTATCCAAATTAGCCAAAATTATTTTGTTCTATAATAGCTCCCATGGGTATTTCAGACCAAAGTCTTGTAAGAGACTTCTCTGCTACTGGAGGGCAGGCTGCTGGAGATAAAATCATTGATCTTGAAGCTGCTGGTCAGGCCAAGTTAAAAGAAGGTGGCAGAGAAGAAGATGAAAGTCCACTCAAAACTCCACAATTAGAATTGAATCAGGATGGAAAGGTATGTCTGACTTTCACACGAAAATTATTTATTCATATGAATGTGTGCATCCATGTGAGGTTATTTAATGTCAGTTCTGAGTATCATATAGAACACTATATTAAAATATTAAAGGAAAATTGTCAAGTGCTTTCTGTGTGTTTAACTTAATGTAAGCATATGTAAGCAAAAGACAATACAAACTTCTAAATGGCACTGACCTAGAGTTTCTTTTATTGCTGTAAATCTAATTTAAATGTTCAATAAGCTTGCATGAGTTCTTGAAAGAATGTTTCAAAGGGTAAATAATGCTTTATTCACTTCCTTAGTTTGTTTAGACTTGAATAAAAATGTTAATATATCATGGTTGTGTACAGTCTGCAAAGTTGGGTATATTATGATGGAGTTTAATTACCATAGGTAACAATTTTGTTTCAGTAGCCATTGCTGAATTATTTCATCCTTTAAAAACTTGTATGTTGACTAAGGTATAGATTTCTGTGAAAAGTTAAGTACTGTGATCTGTTCCTGTTGCAAATGTTTGCTTGTCTTGTTTGTTTGAGCAACTGGGGGAATAGGTAAAAAAATTTTATTAATATTCTGTATGATTTGATGTCAAAGTTCCCTCCCAAAGTGCCATGTAAAATCTGCTGCTCTTTCTCCCTTGGAGATCATTTCTATTTCAGCAATTCTCTACAACTTAGTTTAATATTTAAAGAGTAATTTTGTCCCCAAACAAGTTAGCTACCCATTTTATTCTTGGTGAGACTGCTGAGTTTCTCTGTGCAGTTCATATGTTCCCTCTGCATTCAAGTGTAGGAAGAAAACAAATACCACAGCTGCATTTTTTTTTTATTTGCTGGCAAGTTGAAATAATTTTGAAATAGATGAGAAAAAAGGCACACACTGTTTCTTTATGGGAGAAAAATGGTAAAATAAATTACGATGTTTTGCCTTTGGGCTTGGTAAAATGGTGATTCTCCCTTGTTTTCAAAGTCATGTAACTTTAAATATTTTAACCAAAACAGTGGTGGAGGGGAAGGCAGTATTTTGGGAGGTTGTTCCAGGAAGCTGTTCAGTACAGTTTTGTTACACATGCTCATTCTGTGAACAGCTTTTCCTCTTTCCCCTAGTGCAAATGCTTCTTTTCCTTTCTAGTTCTCTTTAAGTCTTAGAGAAAACAGTTATAAACCCAAAAAGTGCCAGCTTGTCTTTCGTATCCTGCACTGTCCTCTGAACTTTCTGCCGAAGCTCTGAATGTCTGTCTGCTTCCATCTGTTTTAGGCAACTATTACAGTTCAAAAGTGCACAGTTCTTTACAGCCTGAGAACAAAACATTTGTAATGGGTTCCTTTCATAATCCACAGAAGTAAACAAGTTGGCTGCTTGTAAAACACAGCAGGATTTTTATTTTTTATTTCTATTGCGTTAGTAAAGCTATCCCTTCTTAAAGTAAAAGTTTTCACTAACTAATAATTTCTCTTTTTTCCCCTCTTCATGTGCCTTCAAACTTGCATTTTTGTTGTGCTTTCATTTTCCACTGTGCACAGAATTTTTTACTTCAGCTCACTCACATACACCCGTCATCACTGCCCATCCATTCTTTGTCATCCCATCTCACAAACTTGTCACTTGTCCCCGAGATCGACATGCTTTCAGATATTTCAGAGGAAGATCCATTTGAAGAACCCCTTCTTACCATTCCAGACATTTCAGAGTGCAATTCCATGGAACAAACATCAGATCATGATAAAACCAGAACAGCTTCACCAATTAATACGTTTGATACCTCTATGAGACCCCTAGCTAGTCGAGGCTCCCCTGCTGTTGAGGGAAGAATCCATGCAAATGACTACAAAAGCACTGAGTTGCGCGTCTCATTCAGCTTCTTCAGATGCCTTTCTTTTAGTTTCCGTTCACTGCTTGATGAGGATGGCTATATTACTTTACCTAGCCTTCCTGATGTTTGCATTTCTTTCCTCCCACCTGGCCTTCAGCACTATATTCCTATTACCTCTCCTTCTTTCATCCCCTCTTTTCTCCTTGTCTTTGTCCTGCTTCTGTCTGCTTTCCAGTCTATTCCTTTTTCACTCACATTTTCCCTTCCTCTCGCTCTGTCCCTCTGCTACCTGGAGCCTAAGGTGACTTCCTTTAGCTCTAATGGCAATGACCTGAATGACAAAGCAGAGGAAGAGGAGGTGTGTAATTTTGCTGCTTAAATGTTGACACTTGCACATTGCATTTATGCTTGTTCTCAAAAGGCTTGCTCAGTTTTGCACACTTCCTAGTTTAGAGGTGTGCCTATGTACGTGCCTGTAAATACATATATAATACACAAATGCACGTGTGTATATCTGTATCTTTTTAGCATTTCTCATTTGTGAAAAATTGCCATGGTGGGGTCAATAGATAGCTTATGGTTTTTCTGCCTAATTTCCTAAAGCATGCATAGTCTCATGGAATTCCACGGATACTAAGCTGCAGGTGGACTTGCATTGTAGTTCAAAATGTTAAAGAGCACATAAAACTGAATACTGAAAGTGCTCTGTGTAACAATAGAGATGTTATTTGATACTATTTGCAAGTTCTATTTGCACTGTCTATTGGTTTTAAAATGCCTGTCTCCTGCATGCATTGACTGGAATGCACATCTCTGAAGTTCTGTTTAGATCTGAAAAATGAAGTTCCTAAAAGCTGAATTCAGAAAACCACAGATACTTTAAAATCAGTGTTTTGATTTCAGATGTTTCAGCTCTACAAGGATGTGTGCAAAGCTGAGTCTGTCCAAGGCACTTTTTCTTTTTTACATGCTTTGATTAATCTCTAGCGGCAGTTGAGACGGATTTCATTCATTAGCTGGGATTGCAGGTTATGTCAGACTGTATCACTGAAATCTGAGCATTCTTTGGAATACACTGCTGAAATGTACAGAAGCCTCAGTCACACCAGCATGTTGCTCTGATCATCTGGAGTGGCTGACAAATTGCCTCCTTTCCTTATGTCTGCTGCACATGTTACAGCAATACCACTAGAAAAAGGTCTTCTATTTTGATCCTCAAAGAAAATATTAAACCAATTATTATAGAATCAAAGTGGAAGAGGATCTGTTTAATGTTTCATTTAGCAAAGTCTTCTAAACCAATGTACATATTAAAGACTTGCTAAATATGACACGATGCCATTATAATACCAGTCTAAGTATAAAATAATGAAAAACATATGATTTTAAGGTTTTCTCCATTTTTACGTAGTCTAATCCAATCAATAATTTTTACTGTAGTTACAGAAAATGCAACCCCAGATAAGTCAGAAAATAATATAAATGTTATATGTACCACATCATTCACACGGAATCCAAAATGCAACAGTATGAGCAGTAAATCCATCTTCAAATTTATGGATTTTGCACAGTGTTGACTTGTAAATGCATCTTTTCCTAAGATTACCAGTTGATATTTGTACTTGTAGAAAGATAACTGGGAAGTGGTTCACTTTTTAAAGAATGCTGTTCCTTAAGGCATTCAGAATATTTGGAGATGAGACATGAAGATTAGCTACAGAAAATTACCAACACAATGAATTGCAGTTTGAGAATAAATATATTCACTTAACAAGGGGTATATGTGTGTGTGTGCAAATAATTCATCCCAAGACAACAATGTTCCTAAAATTTAAGACAGTTTGTAAATACAGTGTTTAAGTGTTTGACTTGAACCCTAAACTTTTTTCCCAAAAGAACTCCTGGGTTAGATTCCATTTTCCCATCAATTTGTTAGACAATTTGAGTCACCTACCATAGAATTTATGCATATCATTTTTGTTTGTTACTCATTCTTAAATTTTCACCTGGGAAACAATAAAAAATACAGCAAGAAAGGGACACAGTGTGAAACTTCCATTTTTCATGCCACTTATGCCAAAAATTACTTCAGCCATTCTACAACAATGTAGGTGCAAGAAGACCCAAGTCGCTTAATTTCAGCATCTGGGGCCGAAAAAGTAAAGGTCTGTAAAATCCAGCACGCTTTGCAGCATTTACAAAGAGATGAAGCCTCTGTGTTAGTCTGTAAGCCAGTGTTAACACTTCCCTTTCTTGATAATTTGTCATGCGCTCACACAGGTGGAATGCGAAGAGGAGGAAGCACAGCAGAAGGTGCTTGGTTGTTCTTTTACAATTGAACCTGGCTGTGGCTGCCTGACTTGTTAGCACCCTAAATTTGCTGTGGGTTTTGTCTGAATAGTGCCTTTTCACCTCACCATTTTATTTCCTTTATTTAACTGTCTGATTGTAAGGGTCCTTTTTTATTTACTTGCTGCTGGTCCATTTTATGTTCTTTATGTTTTGTTTTGTTTTTGTTTCCTTTTTGTTTATGTGGCTCAATTTCACAGATCAGTTCCTTGAGAGTAGACGGGGAAAATATTTATGTCAGACATAGCAATTTAATGTTGGAGGTTTGTATGTAATACAAAAAGTACTGTCCATTCTCACGGGCTGCCAGGCTGCATGGGATGGGAGGTCACCTGCAGGCTGTTACGGTCACACTGCATGAAGTGCATGGGGAAAACCGGCTTGGAAATGCTGCATGTTACCATTCGAGTTTCTGAGTTTAAGCAAAAACCAAACGAATGCAAAATACCCACAACCAACCCTCAGCTTGAACACTGAGTGTAAATCAGTGTATTTTTGCTAAATGTTTCCAAGGTGGCAACTGGGAATAATAGCCCTATTTAGATACAGCAGACACATGGGTGCATTTCATAATTCTAAATAGATTTTTTTTTGTAGATTGCACCTCAATGTTTGCATCTTCTGTTGAGTAGTTTCCAGCTTTTGCCAGTTTAATCAGCCTTCCTCAAATACATTAGCTGAAGAAAGAGAGTTCGTAAGGGGCAAGCAGTAGAAGTATAGAAAACTAATTCTGGTTGTGAGACTGGTTTTAGGAACATTAAAAAATGATGCAAGGATCAGATATTCAAAGGGAATGTTTGGATATCTTTGGAAATATTTTCTGGGTTTTCTTCCTTTTCAAATGGAAGTAAATTTTGCTTCTTGAATGTTGGTTTTCATTGCAGATGAGCAAGAGCAAAGAGCTTTGAACAGTATGTTCATGTGTAGTGCATTGTCACTGAAGTAGAGATTTTTATTACAAGAATTTTTGTATAGATTGTTGATCTCAATTATTTTATCGGTCACTGTAGTTATTATTAGTATCATTTAAGTTGTGGTTAATAACCTAAGCTAGTAACTGAAGATACTGTAAATATCTCACTGCTGTCTTTATTTCATTCATCCAGATGGGGCTATAAATAATTCCCTTTGTCACAAAAACAGTTTTTTAAAAAATGATTGGTTTTGTTCAGTAATAAGGAGATGTATGGATCGCAGTAACCCAACTAATGTTTTATGGCTTTTTGCAGCTTTTTGATCACTATTGAAACTTTGCTTGTGTATAACTTACTGAAGCACTGAAAGTGTGCATTGCATAACTGTGCTTTGATCAAATCCAAGAAATGTGCCTTATGTCAAGCCAAGACAGGTCTTAAAATAATGATGGGATTGTTACAAGCTTCAGTGGTATGATAGAATGCCTTTGGCATAAGATTTTACTTACTCAGAAAACTTTAGGGGGACATATGTAATATCTCATTTGTTAGGCCAGGATGAAAAGTGGTCCTATGACAATACAAACATACAGAGTTGCCAGAAGGGGAGAGGTTCAAATGTTCAAAATGCATGAGGGTTTATCCACAAGGTTAGGAAATAGATGTGCAGCACCAAACCCTTACTGGCGCTGAACATGCAAGTGAAAAGAAATTAGAAACTATGGAGTTTGGGGTGTGGGTTTTTCATGACTTAATGTGAAGAATCTGTGCATTGCAATCACTGACAATAAAAATCCTAACCTCAATGGTAGATTTCAGAATATTCTGGTAAAAAGTGTTTAAAATCCTTGTAAAAAATCCAGATTCTATACCTACAGAATTATTTCTGATTAAATTATTTTGACAAAACTTCCTTAATGATTATGTCTGCATTGATAATATTTCACTTCAGTCTTCAGTCTTTTAGTTCTTTACTAAAAATGGATCCCAGGCTTAAACTTGAATATAACTATAGAATACTACTGAAAAAATATTCTTATGTTAGAGTGAGCATAAGCAACATGAGACTTCCTTGAGACCTGGAATGCTGGAAGGAGGACAAATTGTGAAAGCAGGGTGAAATCTGCTTCTCTCACCAAATCCAAGCCATTGTATTTAGAAGACAATTCATAAGAAAGCTAAGCATATATATTTTTGTCTGGCTACTAGAGCAGTTACATTTTGGCATAGCTCCTGAACCTTACTTCTGTCCTGTAGCTCGTACAAAGTGAAAGAATACCTTGTAGTTATTTGATTCAAGGTGCTGCAGTTTGGCCTCAATAGTCATGAGAAAATCCAGTTCCCCCTGTGGTGTCCCCTTTGGCACTGATCTATGGAGCTGCAATTTTGAAGATTTTCTTGGTACTGGCATGCACAAAAACTATTCCTACTTGCCTGTCTACTGTCAGGTTCTTAAAAGTAGAATTGGCAGGTAATAGGTTTTAAGTCTTTAAATCTGATTCTTCCAGTAAGTTTAAGCCCGCATGAGAGACACGATGATGTTGTCTCTCTGAAGCTAAGCAGGAGTTAGCTGCTTGGATATTTGGCCTTGTAGTAGTGTGTTCACAGATGTAAATATTTTTCATGAAGCTTGTAATAGCAAAAAAGATGCATTTTTATGCTCCTTGGGTTAAACTATTCTTTCTTATAGCTACCTTCAGTTAAGTTAGCTGCACAGTATCCTGAAATATTTGCACCTGGTTTTACAACTTTGAGGCGAAAACAAACAGCTCCTGGAAATTGTTGTTTCAAAGGACTAGTAGTGTCATGTTTTTGATGAAAGTAGCTCTTTGCTAAAACCATGTACAGCATTATTTTCCTTTGCTTTAAAATATGGAAGAAACAGTGCATGACTAAGACCTTCACTACAAAAACAAAACCAGAATGGTCCCTTATAGTCTTAAACATTTTTATTTTGAGGCACTACAAAGAAAGTCACCATTTCAGACACAAGGCACTTTTCTTGGCTTGGCTGCTTCTATTTCTTTTTTTTTTTCCAGTTAAGTTTGCTTTTGTTGTCGTGTTTTGTCCTACTTTGTTTTATGTTGCGGGTTGCTAGGACCTGGATAAGACCCAGGACGACTTACTGAAACACCAGGCTAGCATTAGTGAGCTCAAGCGCAATTTCATGGAATCCACACCCGAACCACGCCCAAATGAGTGGGAAAAGCGGCGTATCACACCTCTGTCCCTACAGACACAAGGGGTATGTCACTGCACACATCTGTCTGCATGCCTTCCCATACAACCCTCCGTGTAATACAGCAAATGCAGTTTGTCCTTCAAGTTAACACTTTATTTGTCTGATATAATATTTGTTTATACTAAGTATACATTAACTTTTTTACCATTACTGTTGGACCTGACTTTAAAGAGTGGGTGGAATTTTATTCTTCTCCATGAACAACTGAATTAGAAGAAAACAGAAGTGATGGCAGCATTTTCCTGTATGTTAAGAATATTTTAAATTTCACGCTGATTTACACAGATTGATAGAAATAATTTTTCAGTGACAGTAGAAGTTTTCCTTCCTTTTCTGTATCTTTATCTCTTCATAGATAGCTTGTGCATAAATACACACACAGTGTGTGTTTTGTTTCAGAAGGACTTTATGTGATCAGTTAATCTACAGTGTTGACTTCAGGACACATTTAATGCAGTTGTTAAAATGTACCTGTTTTAGTCTTTAAAAGTCTGTAAAATGAATTTATCTACTTCTCTCTACCTCTCCTTTCTGACTGAACCTTGAAACAGCAGAATACAGTTTTCTACAAATATCACCCACAATGCCTGTAGCAAGAAACCTACCCAAATTTCTCATGCTGTTGTGAAACTTTTAGTTCTGTTGGGTTATTAACTGTTTCTTTCATACAGTAGATGAGTACATTGGTCTTCCAAAGAAATCAGTTTGTTGTGTTGTTGTCCTTGTCTATCACTATGGTTCCCACCTTTCCTTCCTTAAATGTATTGTTGTCCTATCCCCTTAAATTCTCCAGCTTTCTTTTAGTCCACAGAAAGGTGAACTTTCAGTTAAGCAGGCTTGATGCTACAAAATTATTTTTGATAATAGGACTCATTATTTCAGTAAGATCTGTAAGCGATCTGAACTGTGAATATTTGCATACACAGAACACAGCAACTAACTAGGCATCACTTCTTTATTTTGTTAATTTGTGGTTACTGACAAGAAATTCCTCAAATTTCTGAGTAGTACCGTAATATTTCTACCTACAGTTGTATATGCCCAAGTACAAATGTTCATCATATTTTAAAACATTCATGACACAGTGATTCATTTAGTAACTATAAATGTATTTTTGGTTGAAACAGACATTTATGTAAAAGTGTAAGTTAATTTTTATTATGTGGTTGTGTGTATTTTCTGTGTTGATTTCTTTCTCTTGAAGTTGAGACCCCTGCAAGTTACTTTATATCTGGTGGTTCAGTTTGGTTTTTTTTTTGCTCATCTAGTATGTTCTGTCACTTCCAGATTATTTGGTTTTATGTTTAAGTATAGTGTATGTCTGTCTCATTTCCTGTTGATTTACACGGGCTTTATAAAATGAAAACCAAATAGAAAAAAGGCGACCACATTTTCCAAGTGAAAACACTGCCTGGGAAGGAGAAACAATGGAGTGCAATGCCATGGATTGCTGGAGCAAAACCAGAGGAACCCGATAAGGTGGCTGCCCTGAAACCTGCTGCTTTTTTGCTGTATCTGCTGTGGGCTAGCTTGGTGGCTTGAGCGCTTCTTTCTTTTTCTTTTTTTTTTCCCTTGAAGGAAATAACTTTTTAAAGTCAATACTGAAAGGAGAATGTTGAGTTGTAAACCAGGATTTCTGTATGTATATGTGTATAGATATACATATATGTGAATGCCAGCAATGTTTTACTTAAACATCAAACTAACCATGAAGTTCTGAATGGCCACTGCAAAGAAACCCAGTGTTTCATTACTGTTCAGTACTGGAAAATTACTCTATTTGATGTGTCTAGGATGATGGCAAGTCATGTATTTTCATTCTATACAGAAATAATTGCTTGCAGTTATTTGACACTTCACACAAGAACTTTTGCTTTGTATGTTCACTATGTAATGATTATTCAAATCAGTTATGCTGTGTAAGCAACTTCATTTGAAAAAGCAACCAGTTCTGAAAACGTCTGCACTCCTGTACCTCTCTTTTCATTAAGGAAAAGAGGGAGGTTTTGTCCTGGTAACATCTATGCAATGACAAGCACTCTAACCAGTGGGACTAGTAGAGTGTGATAGTGATGAGGAGTAGCAATTGTGATGTTGGTTTTTTACATCACTTTTGGTCTATTAGGTTAATGTGAAGCTGGCAGTACTATTTCACTAACATATATAAATATGAATTTGGGGAACTGTGTTTCCAGCCTGAATTATTTGTTGATGGATGCCTGTTAATCCTTGCCTGTTCTTTAGGACAAATGAGACTATAGCAGGGATACCACCGCTAATATTCTTTTTCTTCTTTTGCTTCAGCGAAAATGCTTACAAGTAATTTTCTGTGTCCTAGAAATGTTATTTTGGGTACATCTCATTTGAGTCACTATACTTCTAGATCCACCATACTCCTGCAAGTGCACAGCATCTGTGACTTAATTAAACAAAAACTGACACATTGATATATATTGCAAATAGGAGAAATATTTCTATTTTATGGATACTCACAATATTTTTTTTTCTTTAATCCATCCCCCACAGCTTGTAAAGAGTATTTAATGTTAGAGTCTATGACTGTTTACCAGAAGAATTTGTCAAGAATTTAAACACAGGTTGATACAAAATTGATGAATTTTACTATACATTTAATCCTTTTTACATAATGTTCCAGGGAACAGGGGTTACATTAGCAAACAAATTGTGTGACTGGGGTTTTCATTTTAAAAGACTGGAAGACCCAAAAAGTTGAAGGTGGGAAAATGCTAAAAGATGGGTGATATGTGCCTGTCTTTAAATATATATATACGTCTAAGGAGGAGCAGGGATAGAGAGAGATGCACACAGTCAGACCACCTACCACATAAAGATTTTGTTTTTCCCCTGTGGTTTTTTTTTTGGGTTTGGGATTTTTTTACCGCTTTGAGAGAGAAGAAAACAAGGTACCAGAGTACAATGAAAAAAGGATTATGAACATTTTTGCTTTTTGGTATAATCTGTTAAGAGATGAATGTTTCTTGGGTGGAGTAATCTAGGGAAAGAAAGTAGGAGTAAGGAACATATTCCCCTATTACATATTCAATGTTGCATGAAGGCAGATTTAAAAACTTGCATTCCTGTTAACTCTTCTTAGCCACCATTGAAATAAACTTTGAATTTTAGTGTAGGAAAAGAAAAAACCGAGTTAGGGGTTCTTTTTCTTTTCCTTTCTCTGTTCTTCTGCATGCCATACGCGTTGTAGTGTCCGTGCCGTAGCATGGTGTCACCTCTGTCAGTTCGTACTCTCCATCACCAGGGCTGCACTTGTGTGCATGGCACCTCGGCTTTCCTCTGGCACCTGCTTCTGGCATGATTCTCTGTAGTGCCCTCCGGGAAGGCTGAAATGTATCTCATGAAATGTTGTCAACATGTGTGTTATGTCCGTGTTATGTATTTGTATGTTGTTGGCTTTTTATTTTAACCACTTTTACTTCTTACTAGAGCTTGTGGGATGAAATCTGGAATAAAGAATTGTAGCCTTTTCAGAGGCATGTACCCACGTGAACTTTCAAAGTCTGCTTGTTATACAGATTTTTAGCCCTTCAGAAAATAGACCAGATTATGAACATATGCTTTAAAGCAATGTGTCACCTTTCATGTATGTTTGAAAAATACAAGTTTTCCCACTGAAATAGGAAAGGCTTTTTGAAAACAATTCTTTAATCAACATTAATTTGCTTAGGATATTTAAGTATTAAAAAAAAATATATATATATATATATTTTATTATAAAGAAGTAAGAAATATTTTAACATTTCAGCTCTGATCCAGCTGGGCTTTAGAAGGTATCAGAAATGGATTTTAAAAGGGAAAAAAATCCCAGTAGTAAATACGGAGTTAGCAGCTAAGTAAACTGTGCTGTTTGGGAAGTCCGTGTAAATGTCGATGTGTGAATGTCGATGTGCGAGTGTCGATGTGTGAATGTCGATGTGCTCCGTTCGCACGGTGTGCTGTCCCCCTGTCCGCGCCCCCTGCTCCTGCCGAGCCGCTGCCTTTGTCACGTTTCTCTCTTGCCCAACCTCTCCACTGTAGGTGGCTGCCGCTCCGTCCGCTGCTGTCTAATTCTTTCCTTTCCCTTCTCTGACCCGTCTAGAGCCTGGAAGAGGAGATAACCTCCATTTTGTTTAGTAAGGAGCGCTTCGGCGCCGGCACCAGCGGGCCCTTCGCCGCCGCCAGCCCGGGGCCAGCAGAGGGCGCTGCGGGGGAGCAGACGGGCGCCGCCGCGCCGGGGCCCCAGGTGCTGCTCGGGCGCGGGCCGGGCCCGCCGGGGACGGGACGGATCCCACAGGGACACGGACAGGGACAAGGACAGGGACGGGTCCGGGCTGCTCCCGTACGTCCCGGCCTGCCTTAGAGCGGCGTGCCTGCCTCAGAGCGTAACTCTGCATCTGCAGCACGCCAGAAGCAGGGAGGAATCAGTGCTTGGCTAGGATTAAGCTCCGTAGGTGCTGCGCTAGGTAAACAGCAATAAAAGCTAGGATTAAGTCACAGATGGTGTGTTGATTTTTGTATTCTTTTCATTTGGGCTCTTAATTTTGATGCAGACTGTTCGCTAAATGTATGTTCGATTAAAAAAATCTGACACCTTAATACGTCATTTACTGCGGGCTTTCAGATAGCTGTCATTGCTTTGTTATGGAAAAAATACTAGTAAAGCTGGTTTAATAGCATCCTTTTGGCTCCAAACTGAATTCCTATAGGACCTTCTTTTGTAATCATTTATTGCTCTTCTGACAACACACTACCCTAAGCAGTCTTCCTCTCATTGAGTTGCATAAAGTAACAGACCAAAGACAAAAAACTAATAAAACCCTGCAATAACACTTTTTAACTTTTTTTTTAATTATGGCAAACTGGTAGTAGAGCATTTCTTTTTCTGTTTAATTTTGTTTAATATTATTTATTCTTAATTCTTGATTTAACTGAGAGAAATAACTGCCTCGATAGCATCACTGGCTAGTACATTCATGCTTTTTATTTTCAGGCTTTCATAATTCAATTCTTACACCAATAATAAATTCCATAATTCTTACCTACTTTTGATTGAATCTTTAGATGAAGAGCAAGGCAACTAGCATCTTGCAGTGAATATGTAGCATCTCTCTAGTATCTTGTGTATACATTCTTAAAAGCTTGCTTGGAGGATGTTGCACTGTTGAAAAGGATTATGCATTGATTTTTGTCCTCTGATTGCTTTTTGTTTCACAGAGACATGCTTCCAGAGCAGAAGGGCCTTGTACTGGAGTCAGCGATGCTGATAAGGTTCTGCAGATTTTTTCCGTGACTAAATTTGGCTCTAACTCTTCCGATCCATCTTCATTCTTTCCTTCCTTCTTTTTTCAGTTAACCATCACAATCATCTTTTGTCTTCCACATGACATGAACCAGCTATCGGCTAATTTTATTTTCATCATTTTAATTTATTCATATGCTCTTTTTTTGTTTATCCTCATCCATGTTTTTTGTGCAGAGTTCACATGAGACTCTGGACATAGTGGAGGAGAAGAAGCAGGCAGAGTTTGGGATAGAAGAAACACTAGTCGTAGACGAAACCAACAAAGGGAAAATGCAAGTTGCCACTGATGCTGGGGAGACATGTAAGGTGGAGCACGTGTCAAAAAAGGACTCTTCATCATTGCCATCAGATAGTAGCAGCAGCAGCAGTAGTAGTGAGAGTGAGGATGAAGAGGTGGGAGAATACCATCCACATCATAGGGCAATTGAGGAAGTCATCAGGGAAGAACAGGAAGAAGAGGAAGACATGAAAAGGAAAGAACATGAAGAAAATACTCAGCATGTGGAAGCCATACCAGAAGGCAGTAAACTAAATGTACCAGTTGAGCACACACAAGTTACAGCTGAAGATTTGGTCCAGGAAAATACAATTACTGTAGCTACAGAAGAGAAGAATTTGTCAGAGCAAATTAAGCAAGATGTAGGTGAAGAAAAAGAGGAGGAACAGCTGAAACTCAATGGAGATGTGTCTCATGTTGACATTGATGTTGCACCACAATTAATTTGTTGTTCTGAGGTAAATGGTAGAACAGTATGACAACTAGATTAAGCAGAGATATTTCTTGGGCTGAAAATATACCTGCCTTTCTTCTTCTCCTATTCCTCCACGTCTTCTGGCATCCAACAAGATTCAGATCATTTGGAAGGGGAAACCATTGATGAGCAGTGAAATTCTGTCTCCCTCAGTTATGGTTTCTGACTTTTTGCTAGAACTGAGTGAAAATCACCAGTAAAGGCAAACCTTCCGAAGACTGAGATCTCTTTTTTTTTTATCTCCTCCATATTTTATATGCACATACGTAATGTGTATTTATTATTTACATGTTTCCAGTGTTTTAAGTCTTGTCTTGTCTATTTGTCAACTGTTTTTGACAAGTCCATGACATGTAATTGTGATTGGAAAACTATTGCAAATTGAAATTAGAAGGCACCTATCAGAATTTTTTTTCCTTTTTTCCCCGTACTCACTCACTACTTTTCTTGTCTTTTTGCCCTCCTTCAATAAAACATTATGGATTTGTAGGTTAGAATATGTATGGCTAGAAATTGCAGAGGTGAGAGCACTGCACTGTTAAGTGGTGAGGCTCGTATCACTATGGTTCCATGAAGTCTTCTAGTGCAGTAGATGCTTAGGGAGCATGCATGGGTTCCTGTCACAACCACTTCTTTTAAGCCACACAAAGCTGGAGAGTTCATTACTGGGCAAGTGGTAAAGAAGCAGAAAGGGAAAAAATGAAAGGCAGGCATGTATGTCTCAGTAAATTTGTCATGATCTTCTGCTGAGTTTTTCACCAGTTCGGTGAGTTTTTGTAGTTCTCTACCTGCTTGTTCTTGTAATGGTGGCAAATTTTTTTTCTTCACTTTTTTAATTGAAACAACTCATATTCTTTCTTTTGTTGTCTTTTGCATACACAGCTGTTCTGATTAATGATGTGAAAGAATTAGTTTATTAGACTTTTAAAATTTGCAAGTTCCCACACTTCCTAAAAGCATAGATAGTCTGGAGAAAGGGGAAGAAGTGCTGCTGTGTGTGCAAGCCTGAAAGGGTGTTTGGGGTTTTTTCCTGGGATTTTACCTTGTGTGTATTCAAAATCAAGATAGAAGCTAAGAAAATATATAAGAAATTTTCTTAATATATAAGGAAATATCAAAAGGCTTTAGTTCTTAAATCTAATGAAAATCTGCTCCAGTAAGATAAGTAATGAGTTCACTACCTTACAGACCCCAAGTTAATTGCTTTATTTGTGATGTTGATGAGAACATCACTAGTTTACTCTAAATTGTTGAAGTAGCTTTTTAGAATGTTTGCCAAAAGAGGTCATTGATTTAGAGAAAAATTTAGACTGCTTAAGATCCAGTTTGCAAAAGCTTTTCTTTTCCAGAAGTAATACATATTAGAAAGTTAATGGAATTTTTAGTCCTGATTTGCAGACTGACGAGTGATAGGTATTTTCCCAGATTAGTTCTAATACAAAGTTTATCTGTCTGATCTAGCTGTCAATTTCTTTATGCAAACGAAGATTTTTCTTTTTTTCATAGTCATGCTTTTACACATTTTCAGTACATGTTGCAGCTTTGTTTTAGCAATTGCTCTTTGGTATGTGCTGTTAGCTGAAACACTGAACTTTGACAATGTTATTAGGAGATTAAATTTTCTTACAGTGTTATGGATATCCTAGAGGGCTGATGTATTAATCTTCGTTTCATTTTGCTTATTTATTGCATGCTTTTTGTATGGGAAGTCAGTCAAATACTTGATCTTACTGTTACGCTTTCCTTGAGCTTTTGGTTGTGTTTTCTTGGTCCATTTTACAAAACTTCTTCTGTCTTTTGAATTGATTGTTTATTTCTCGCATCACAGCCTCCAGTAGTGAAAACAGAGATGGTAACCATTTCAGATGCCACACAGAGAACTGAAATCTCCACTAAAGAAATTCCAATTGTTCAAACAGAAACTAAAACTATCACATATGAATCTTCGCAGGTATGCTGATGGGTTTGTTTGCAATCTTATTTTTATTACAGTTATGTAGATCAACATAGATAATGTTCAAAAATGCTTTCCAAAAGCATTTTTCCTAGCAGATAAGATTATACTTTGGCTATGAATTAGGTAAGTGAAGTGTTACAAAACCATATTACTTAAGAAGTTTTAATGTTCTTTTGTTATATAAAGACTTAGTTACTGACTGCAAAAGTATAACTCACTTTAATCCGGTTTTGAAACTTGATTAAAATATCTCATTTCTCCTGAAAGGAACACATAACTGTGAGCATGAATTCTCCACAGGAATGGGCCATAATAATAGCCATACCTGACTCTGTAAACTTGCCTGGCTTCTATTTAGATTTCAGTCCTAGCTGAATTAAAGAATGTGTTTAGCAAGAAAACTAGGCTTTTCTCCTGTGAAAACAAATTTTTTAAATGCCAATATACAATAATACCTTTTTTTTTTCTTATAGCTTGATGGCAATGCTGTTGGTGATACTGGTGTGCTGGTGAGTGCACAGACAATTACATCAGAGTCCATTTCTACTACCACAACTACACACATCACAAAGGTAAATTATATTTCATGTCTTTCTTGATTAAAAAGACACCAGACCCTCAAAACACAATTTTACATGAAGTTTCTTGTACATCTGCTAATTTATTGAGGAAAACTAACTTGAAATGGAAGGGATTCATTCCAGGCATGTGTGAGAATTAAATCTTTCTGCACAGATTTTGAAGGCAGAAGTACTAATAAATAAGCAGGAATATCTGGGAATAGGACATGGAAAGGGGGAAAAATATGACAAGTGTTTTTTCATATAGGCCTTATTTCAGTATTTCACAAATGAGTATGTAACTAAATTTTTACAGATTCGGTCCTGTCCTCACCCACTGATATCCTACAGAATCTTTGCTAGTGTAACTAACTTGTCTGAGGTCCACTGGAGACCTGTTAATGACACCATGATAAACTGAAACAATGTTTCCCAGACTTCCCATGTGTTCATCATCCTCGTGCTTATGGGTTTAGGGTGTATTTAAAAACAGATTGTTCTGTTAGACAGCTTTGCAAGCGTGTTTGGATGCTGAATTATTTCCTCTGCATTCCATGCTTTAAAAGGAAAGGAAAACTCAGGGTTAACAGGACATCACATCTGTTTCATGGAAAACATGAAATGTGATGTTTCATGCCAGAGTGTGTTAAAACTACCAAAGCATGATGATGATTGTTGTTATTGCTAATTTATGTAAATATTTCTCAGATTTTCGGCATGTCTAAACAACACAGTTTTCAACTCCTCTTTGAACTCTTAGCATCTTTTTCTAAGAAAATTATAGAAAGCATTGTTTAGGGTAAAGAAAAATGGAAGAGGGAAACAAACATTTTTATTTACAACAAGACAGAATTGAATAATAATTCACTGCTCACTGGATCTATTTTCTAAAGATTTAAATATTCTGAAGATTGAAAGTCATATGCACAAAATGATAGTGGAAGAATAATATTGGAAAGTGAGTCACATGAAATAAAGTAAGCTCAGAATTAAAAATACATATGTTAAAAATGTTATAAAGACTAGTCAACAGATCCTTTTCAGACTCCTGCTCCTTTTTGGAATCATTAAGGCACCATCATTTTAGGAAAAAATCTTTATTCAATTAATTGAATCACAGTTTTGACTGGAAGTGTACATTTTCTTGTCAAGTCCAGATGTCAAATAGTCTTGCTTCTTGGAAGCAATTAAAGAAAATGGTTTCAGTCTTGTCTTCTACTGAAAAATTACTGGAATTACCATGATGCAGCAGAACCTTATATCTTTTGAATTGATGATAAACAGTTAGTAACAAAATTATTTGAATTATCTAAGCTGACTTTTTATTTTGCATTGCAAACTGTTCATTACTGATGAAGGGACCTTCCAAAATAGTTTTAATATTCTAATGATGTTCCTAATGGAGTCATCTTGGCTCTTCCCTTTTCAGTGTATCTTAAGTAGTAGTTTATTCTTTTCTCATACTCAGGCTGATTTAAAAGGCAAATAATGTTATTTTGTGAGAATATTTTATCAGCTGAGGTGTTTTAATCATTAGAATAAGAAGTGAAGAAAAAAAGCACAAAACTGTTCAGCAGCGTGAAATTTGTTGAAAATATCTGATAAAGGTCCTTGAATGACAGAACTGAAAACCACATTATCTTTGTATTTAATGGAGACTATAATAAGACTTTGGAGAGGCCCATGATAGATGGGTTGAAATAAAAGACTCTTGGAATTTCCATGTTGCCAGACTTATATGGCGAAAAAAACTGAAATTACAGTTTACCAAAGATGGGCTCTAGCCCATCTTAATTATGGAGTAATAACAGGAGTAATTCTCTATTGCTTGATTTATATCAAGTTTAACAGTTGCTAGAAGGTGACCAACTGCATTGCTGAAAAAGGAGAGAATGATTTAGCACTGAACACATTTACTACTGATGCAACTCAGATGCAGAAATGTGTTTGCTTCAGTGCAACAGAAGGCTGTGCTTTGTAGAAATATGGAATAATTACAGGGATGTTATTCTGTTTTTTTTAATTTTTCTGACATCTGTAGATGGTAAAAGGTGGAGTATCAGAAACAAGAATTGAGAAGCGCATTGTCATTACTGGAGATGCAGATATTGACCATGACGAGGTGAGTATGCAAACTTAACACTTCAAATGTGGGGTTTGTACTCTGGTGAGATCTAGATGATGTTTCAGAAATCTGAAGTAAGGAAAAGGTAGAAAAAATGGAATAAAACAATATAGAAAGAACCTGAGACTATTTATTGTGGCATAGTTATTAAGCAATTGTGTTTTGCTATTAAGAAGCCTTTTGAATATATGTGAAAGAAAAACAGCATTTGTAAGTTTGCATCATAGATCGTGTGAATGGTTTTTTGCTATTTTTAGAGGGATTACTCTTTTTGGAAGAGACCCAGTTTATTTAGTGCAGCTTTTGTACTGGGAGGAAAAGCATTACTGAAATAATCTTATTTTGATACGCTGATCTGGATAGATGGGAGTCTCTACTGCATTGTTTCAACAACATCTGAATGCAGTGCTCATTTTGATTGAAAGCTTTGAAATACATTAGAACATTAACTGCTTGAATTTAAAAATTAGGTTTTGGCCAGTATTTGTAGAATTATGTGTAAAAAATGTAATTGTTGATGTGCTGTAATTGTATGATGTGTTTTTATCTCCATCAGTACTAAATCAGTATTTTACAATATCTTAGTAACTAAGGCTAAGATCACTTCTACGTGCCAAATTAATAAGGCTGAATTTGAGCACTACACAGGAAAATAATTGAGAAAAGTCAATTATCTAGTCTTTGTAGTGATGATTACACAGGTTTTTTTTTCATCTAAGAAACTAGAGTAACAAAGGCAATCAACAGTCATTGGTTAACACAAATGGAAGAGCCTACCTTGCAGTGAACACATTTCTAATTTTGTGAAGGCTTCGCAAATCAGCATAATAGGGTTCAGTTTAACTTATGAATTGTAATATAGCAAGAGTTTTCAAGGAATTTATTTTCATGTTTTGATTTGTGTCCAGGAAGTGTCTTTTGGCAAGTTGAATCTCTTCTTGAAATCCATAATTAAATGACATGGCTGCTTAGCATCAGGCATGGATGGATCTTGTTTGCCTTGACACACAGTGCACTTCAAATGTCTGGAAAGGTCACAAAGTAGCTTTAGTATACCAGACAATTCTCAAAGCCCTTCTTTAAGTTGGGATAAGTGAATAATGAAGCAAAAAGTGAAATTATAAAAAAGGAAATACAAAATACAATTTTAATCACTGTTTAAAACAGCAGTGAGCAGCTTTTAAGAGATTTAAGAAAGATCTACCACATTTTCGTAAGTGAATATGGAGTTTTCTTAAATGCCCAAACTAGATGCTGGATGTTTTTTATTTTGTCTGTTAGCTCCGTATATATTAATACAGTTTTCAACAGGAAAACAACATTTCAGTGTGGATTTTCAGAATAGGAATGTTTTTATTACTTGCTGTAATTTACCAGATAGAGTCTTAGGGTTTTTTCATTGTTTATGGGTTTATGGTTTGATTGCTAACAAACATCAAATGTCAATATTGTACCAATGCATATCATGTGTCCTGTACATATTCCCTTAATAGGATTTCAAATTCAGTGTCACATAATAGTTAGGGTGCTGGTGTTTTCAATCTCTCTTCAGAGTTAGTTATATCTTCTCTCACTTAATACCTGTAGGTAGCTCAGGAAATAGTCACTTTTCTAAATTATGATAAACCTTTTTGTTGCATTATATTTTTATTGCTCCTTCTAGTATTTTGGGCGGGGGGAGGTTTAGTTGCATTTAGTTGCTTCTGAATACCTTCCCATGTTTTCTGGTTTGTTTTTTTTTTTCTTGTGTTAGGTTCCAGCAGTAATACAGCTCACTGAAATAAGATGTGTACTAAGATGTGGGCAAGAAAGAGAAGGCCCCAGGTGCTATTTCACCTGTGATGATTCAGAGTGTGCTCTTATGTGGTTGACTATGATGCAGAATAAAGTATTACATTTCAGTTGGAAGGGACTTATGATGGTCTTCTGATCCAACTGGCTATATTGGTACATCTCTTAAATGATAAAATTTCTTAAAATGGGGAGGGATTATAAGCAACTGAATGATACTTGCATTTACACTTCCTTGAATTAAGCTAGAAAAATTTTTCTTAAACTAGTACAAGGAGAAAAATGTGCTGAGAAATTTATTATGATCTTAATCCAGAGTTTCAGTACCACATTTAGTCTGCATTCCAAAGTATCTTTCTGTTTTGTTCAGGAGACTGAAGGGCACTCTTGTTTTTCTGTACTATCTTAAACTCTTCTTAAGGCATATTTGTTAGATCCTTCACAAAAGTTCACAAAGTTCTGTGATGTAGAAATACTTTTTTTTTTTTTTTTTTTTACCTGAGATGAGCTAGAAAGTTATCTTAAAACTTTACGTTTACATGTTACTTTCTGGAAATTTTGGTAAAATTTTAACATAGTGGGGGGGTGGGTTGGTTGGGGTTTTTTTCTTTCTTTCTTTTGGGTTTTGGGAATTGGTTTGGTTTAGGGTTTGGTTGATTTTTTTATCTTTGATCTCAAGTTCAAGTTTTTTACCTTTTTGATCTCAAGTTCCTCAAGGAGTTTACGATTCTGAAAAGTTATAACCAAATTCTCCAAAGATACTCTCCCATTCTCTGGCCCCACATGAATGCCCTCTTGGTTAAGTTCCATATTTCAAATATGTTTGCAGGCCCTGGCACAGGCAATCAAAGAAGCCAAAGAACAGCACCCTGACATGTCTGTGACAAGAGTGGTGGTGCACAAAGAAACTGAGCTTGCTGAGGAAGATGAAGACTAAAATAAAAAATGCCCTCAAGCAAATACTTCAGGTAAGCTTATGTAGGTAATTAACACAGGAAAACATGGCATCAGTTTGCTGTTGCATTCATGTTTTTTCAGCTGAAAAATATCGGTTGTCTTTAAGATAGGAATTCCCAGAAGGGTGATTTGAAACAGGTGCTAATGGAAGACTATTAGTATAGGAATTTTTATCTTAGGTCTAATCTGACATTAATTTCAGTTGCAAATGTTCCTATATATGTCTCCCAATTTTGTCACAGTACTCACACAGCATTTTCTGCAATGGCTGATCAAGTTGTTATAGTTTATATTGAAGTGGGTTTGAGCTATTTCTGCAAAATATGGGGGATGTGTCACACATCTCTGTTTACCTGCACAATTATAGTTCTTGCCTAATATCTTGCTTGTTTAGTGGGAAGACTGTGTAGTTTTCAGTAGTGAAGGGGCACACTTGATGTTTCAGTTTAGTCAGCTAATCCTTAATCCTAAACACACTGAAATTTTTAGCCTTTTATCATTTCCCAGTCAAGAAGGTACGTGTATTGGAAGCTCAAATTTTAAAGCCCTTTATCAGTTGAAAAAGCTGTTTGAAGTCATGTTAATTTATTAGGCTCTCCTTTCTAGGTTGAGGAAAAAGAAGGAAAGGAACACAGTACGGTTCTCCTTCATGTATTCAATAGAAGGAGCAGGATGAACACTGAATAAATCTGCCCTTGCACTCATTATAGATTAATGTCTTAAAGCTCTGTAACCATTTGGGGGTGTAAAGCTTCAGATTTCCTGTGCTTGTCATGCTCTTGATATGAGACTCAAGCTTCAGGTTTTTTCAAAATTGATGTTTTTGTTCATGGTAGCTTCAGATCCAAGAAAAAGGTTTTGTTAATGGATAAATGGGTATATCAGTGGGAGAGATTTATAAAGAAATGTAAAACCCAGTGGTTTAAATCTTCATTAGGAGACCTCTGATTTTTTACTGACCAGCCTCTGTATCTAGCTAGAAGAGCAGCGATGTTATTGGAAAATCTCAAGAAGGAAAATTGTTTTAGTACAACTTTGAGCTTTTAATATGCACTTTGATCAATGTTGATGTAGGTTCAGACAAGGGAAAAGAAATACATTTTATAAGTTTTAAAGAAATGGGAGTAGTCATGATTCTTATTTCCCTGGTTCCGTATTTTATACAACGGTGGTTGTGGCCCATGGACAGGAGACTTCCATGTCCTGTGGAGGCAAGCATTCCCCTAGTATGGAACAAAATTCTTTACCCAAGGAAACTAGCCATTATACATTTCAACCTGCAGCTTTAGCAGACTTGAGCACAGCCCTGAAGTGCCAGGATATATGAAAAATGAGATACTGACTTGATTCCAAATTTGGTGCAAGCTACTACAGGGGAGGATGTTTTTCACATAAGCCTAATAATCTGTCATGTTAAAAAGATCAATTTTATTGCTGTGCCTGAATTTCCTAAAAGCTGAAGATTTAACTGTTGAGTATCACTTCTGGGATCCAGAAGAGAAAAAATTCAAGTATCAGTTGAGAGGATATGAAGTGCATCTATTGAATGCTGTTCCATGGAGCATGACCGTTATCAAGGAATTGGATTCTTCCTGAGCTAGTCTGATCACAGGTGCATATTTTCAGCTGAAAGACATAGACTAAAGCTTTAGTTTATTTAATCTACCTACAAGTGTCTCTTTTCTTACCAGCTGAGTAGTAGTGAGGGTGCCTGTGTGTGGCTGAGGAAGGGGAGGACTAAAATCCATTGCCAGATGTTGACATGGGTATGGTCAGTTAAGAGACTGCCCATGGTGGGATGTTGGGGCAAGAGTTTTTCACATCTCCTGGCAGAGTTGTTGGGTCTCATCACTATACACATAACCCTCCTGAGAATTTGTCCTGAACTCCTGCTGTGTGCAGTATTGTAAATGTACAAACCAGGAGAAAACATGAATCACATTTGGAAGTGCTAGATGAGCACTCACCTGAATATCCATGTTGTAGCATTAATACTGTTAAAAATTATTTTCACATTAGATAATGCTGGAAACCAAAAATAACACTAGAGGTGGGGTTGCTTATGAGGGACAGTTGGGGAAAAGCACCAAAAATAAGAAACACTGCACAGATGTCTGGTTTTTCATTGTACCTTTATTTCAGCATTCACTTGGGTTTGTTTCATGGCTTTGTTGCTTAGTGACACTGAAAATGGGTGTAACATGTATGTACCAGTTTTGGTTTAAAAGCACTGGGGAGGACAGAGAACTGTACTGAACTGTGAGATAGGGGGATGTTGATGAGTCTCCACATCACATAAATGTTCTGGAAGGCTTGGAAAAATGCACATCAGTTTTGTGAGAGCTGTTTGCAGTAAGGAGAATGCCTGTACTTTGTGTGGTTTCACTGGTCCCTTGGTACACAGCAACATTAAACATGCACTCTCAAACCACCCCTTGCATATTTTCAGCACTTCCATCATAGGATCTAAGGTATAAAGAGACAGCAGAACAGATGGTTTGGATTTGCAGGATTTTACTATTCTATGTGCTACCATCACATTTTGAATTCATTATTAATCAGTGTGAATTTAAAGGTCTTGGAAGCAGGGATTGCCTCTTCTCTTACATGTGTGTAGAATGTGCCAGGTCCTTCATGCTATCTTAATCCTGAATCAGTGTTCAACACAATATATCCCATAGAAGTAATGACATCTTTTTAGAGGGAACTGGTCCATGGGAGGAAAAAAATATTTTGGCAGGTTTGTACCACGTTTCTACATTGGTGACCAGCTGCAGAGTTGATTCTATTCCTTCATCAAAAATTAACTGCTTTGTAAAAATTTTATTCAGGGAAAAAAAAAAACATTTAAAGAATTCCTTCCATTGTCTGAGGGTTTTTTGGGGTTTTTTTTGCATTTTTGAGAAACATACACATTGTGGAATGCTTGTTTGCAAAGGACTGGAGTGTGTCAGTTGTTCTTGTGTGAGTTTGTCAGTTGTTTTACAGGTTCCTGGTCTTCAATGCTTGTGAGAGAATAAAAGAGGACATTTCTCCATGCTACTTTTGTGTCAGACCTGGAGACTTGTTTGACTGATGATGCCTTTCAGTTAAACTTTGGGGAAAAAATTTAGTCCTCTAAACCAAAGAAAGCCACCTGAAGTGCCTTGAGTATCTGTCAAGAGCCTTTTTCTCCTGTGCTAAGGCAATGGAGTTATGCAATGAATTTTGCATACTTGCTTCTGAGGCGATGAAAGCTTTGATAACTACAGCAGTATTCTTGGTGTAGACTTGTTTTCTCTAATAAAAGATACTGCATTCTGATTCTGAAGGATTACTGAATTGGACAAGTACCTTCCTTTTTTATTTATGTTCTAGGTTGTGGATTAAAATTTTCAGTAAACTGTGCAAGGGGCTGCAATTAAAATAACATGAGGATTTTGGGAAGGGAAAAAATATTCTAAAGCAAGATAAGTACTTTGAAATAGTGTAGTAGTGTATGCCTAATTGACTGAAGGGGGTTTTAGTCAATGCAACATTTTTTTTAATGAAATAACCTTCCTTTGTAAAAAAACCTAAGGAACCCTGCATAGAGAAAGTTACTTTCTGACTCTGATGTGACACTGACATAGTATCCGTTACAAATGCTTATGTAACCTTCCATATAATTTTTTTTTTCTTTCAGAAATAAAAATGTCACTGACCACGAAGAACTGTAGTCATTCCAAGTCATCATGACTCCACTGAATCCACCAAGACTAGCAACAATGACCAGATGTTCACAACTCAAATGCCAATACCAAACTCCATTTTAACATTTTTGGTCTATGTATCCTTACAGTCTTTCTTGTTTATTTTTATAACCACTTCTTAACAATCTTAGAGTTTTGGGTTTTTTTTAAATGAAGTTCTAGAGGGTATGATCTTCTTTTGCACAAATACTTGTATTTTTGAAACTAATTCTTAATTATATGAAAGTGAACAAAAAAAGTCTGGAAATCATTGTTCACTGGAGCAGGTGGTAATTGTGCAGGAAGGAGGATCTTTACTAATTTAGATATAGTTTTTTCAGATATTTCATGTGAAATCTCTTACTGGAGTAATTTACAGAATTTTTTTCAGATTATTCAGGTAAATATATGATATCACATAATGAAGTTTTTTATAAAAATAAAACATTTGCTAAAATTTGAAAAAATATATTTCTTTGGATAAATTTTATACTGGTATCTCTGTAACTCTTTCTTTTCCAAGGTTCTCCTCTCTGCGGAGCAGAGATGGTGTGGCAGTCTGTAGAGGAGAAGGAGTTGCAGACAGATTTCTTCTGACTGAGCACTGTGTTGTTTTTGCACTTTGGTGCCAATGCTCAACTTTTTGCAGACTTTTTGCTGTCTGCAGCATTCCAGATAAGGAAAGAAGGAAGAACAAAATATCTTTCTCTTTTTCCAACAAGAGATGATCTAGGCAGCTTAAAACCGTAGTGCTTTTTTTTCTTACTGTGTCCCAATTTCAGTACTTCCATTATTTGGATACATGTGTAGAATGCTCGCTTGCTATTAAAACTCACTGTGTCTCCATGTTAGAACTGACATTTCTGTTACAGAGAAGGTATATATTTCACATGCTTCCTCTAATGGTTAATGCAGGTTTTTAGGCTACTGAATAAAAGATGTAAAATGAGCTCCACTCATAAAGTAGTACAAGAGTACCATCAGTTGAGACTGCCATGGGAAAAACCTGTTAATTATATTGGGGTTTATTTTTAATTTGTTCTTGCTGGGGGGTTGTTCGTTTGGGGTTTTTTTTTGCTGTTGACTCTGTGTATAGTTAAAATGCCAAATTAGATTTATAGTAGCTTAAAGTTGTATTAAGTGATATTTTGCTTTCTGTAATTCTGTTATAAAATAAAGTTGTTTATTCTCTGTATGACTTTTGGCACTCAGACATGAGCTTGGAGGATATTTTAAGTGAGCAGATTACTTCTGAGAACCGCAATTGTAGAGGTTACATAGAACCTTAAAAAAAAGGGATT